ATACTGGAAACATCTATAAATATCTGGATTTTTGTGGATGGCAACAGCAATTACGAGATATTTATTTATTAGGTATTAAATGCACGCGCTGTTCTATTTTTAACCTTCCAACGCAGCTGTCTTTTCAAAAATCGTCTGCGTTGCTAAGGCAACATGAAGCAAATCTAATTACAATTCTAAATAAAAAAAAAAAAAAAACTAAACTAAATAAATAACTATGAAATCCGTAACAATATGAATAAGTAATAATTAAGTAATAATAATAATTAATAATAAAGCAAAGTGCATGCATGCATGCACCAATATATCGTACAAAACTATGATTGGAAAACTGAGACCATGAGTTCGGCCACATTCGGCTATCGGGGGATGCGTACAAGTTCTGAGTGCACGTGTCCCCCAAAAGCCGAAGGTAGCTGAACGCAAGCTACTCACACGCATTTGTAATTTAAGTAGTGTGTGTGTCAGCTCGCTGTGAGTAATCTAACAACACACTGAATAAATTATCGTTAATTACTTAGCAGTAAACATTTCATTTTTTTTTCTTCGTCGATATGTTATTTTATTATTATATATTATTATTTGCCGATATATTGGCCGGGCCGCAAAAAATTTTTCGGCCGAGTTTGATCCTGGTCACCCTCAACAGAATAAATTAGAAATTAAAAAAATAAACATAAACTGTAACATATTAAAATGTTAAAACCTATTTTAATTTATATCAATTAGGTATATTATTTTAAAAAATAAAATACAAGTTTTTAATTATTAAAAAGTGCACTTATTTTTAAAAATTCTTTGTGAAAATAAATATGAAAGAAAATTAAATATGTTTATGGAATGGCAACACTCAGAAACTGCCTATGAAGAAAGGCACATGGAAGATAAAAGTTTTATACTTTGCATAATAACAACACCTGCTAAGAGTCGGTTCTAGATTTTTTTTTTCTGTTATTCTCAACAATCAGTTTTAAGCTAGCTAGAATATAATTTTGTAAGTTTATGTGAAAAATAAATGATTTGGACACCACATGACTTGAATGGCCTCTTAAATTATAAAAAAAAATTTCTGCATTTCATTTTAAATTCATTTCCTCGAATTTTATTAGTGATACATTTCTAATTCAATCAATTCAGTTATCACTTTGTGAAAAGGCAAAAATACACAAAAAATCAATTTTCATTAAAAATTGTAAAATACAGAAAAACCTAAAACACCAAATACAGTTAAAATAAAGAATTTTACAATTAAAAGAGTTTCTATGTAAAAACAAGCAATCTGGCCAGCGAGCATGAAAACAAAATTTCTGGTGCACAAAATTGAAAGTTAACTTTTGGTTATACTGAAAAGTTGGTACCCAAAACTGAGTGAATTCTCTATTCTCTTAAGTTTTGAATGTAAACAAATGGTGGCTTTGTTAGACTTAGTGTCAATAAAACTTTTAAACTGTCAATAATTCTAAAACTATAGCATGCAGTTTAACTAAAGGCATAAAAACCTTAAGCAGAACATAAGAACAACATAATTCAATCATTTTTAAAGCAAAAAATTCACAATTTACCAACATGCAAGAATAAAAAAATTGAGTTCACCGAGCCAAGTAAAAGAGTGGCAATATACAGGGTGATTCAGAATTCATTATAAATATTTGGTGGGGAGGTAGGGAATAGGAAAAGGAGATTTCTCATACGAATGCATGGGCGCATATGCCATGTAGTAGGGCAAAATGACCCCAGTTCAATGATGGAAAGAACACATAAAAAGGAAGTAGTATGGAAAAAAAAAAAAAAAATTATTATCTTACATGTAACATTTCTTTGCATCGGTTTTACAGACTTACGAGAGGTGCTCGAACTGCTGACCATGTGCTAGAATGCATGACTCACAACGGAGTTGCATGGACAACCGGACCTTCTGGAATATGCCTGGCATTTATATGCATATCTGCAAGTTCATTCCACGTATACCGGTTCATTATACTTCTGCAAAGTCACCTAGTCGAATGGCGATTGGCTGCACACGTCAAACAGCCATGCTTATATATGGAAGTTTTGTACACACAGAGCCTCTACACCACCATGCGTTCATCTGCGCCCATACTTTCCTATGTGAAATCTCCTTCTATTCCTATTCCCTACCTCCCCACCAAATACTGATGACGAATTCTGAATCAACCAGTGTATATATATATTTAGAAAACAATTAAAAAAATATAAATATGCCTTTAAATAATCAATATCCCAATTAAAAAAATTTCTTAAAGAAATTAAAAGAAAAAAGATCATAACAGAAGATTAATTCAATGTCAGGGAAAAGGAAATCTCTCTTCTACAAAAATCCCTGCTTTTCTGTATCCAGAATTAGCAGATGAACCATTTCAATGTATTTTAATTATAATAATTCACCCAAAAATTCTGGCCCTTCACCAAAGGACAAAGGTCCAATTAGTCAATTTATCTTACTTTATATATATATATATATGTATATTTATATATGTTTGGTGCAGCTGATTGCAATGAAAAAGTAAGGTGTATGACAACATATTATAGCAGCTCCATATACAAAAATTTGACATTCTATGGTTCTTCATTTTTGTGTTATGTGAGAATATATATATATACTTACAGACTTCATGAAACAAATATCTTCTGAATATGTTTTAATTCCATATTACAATGCAATTTTAGGAGAAAAAGAGTCTTTTATTCTGTCCTTACATACAGATGTCATGCAAAAAACATCATTCAGATGGATTCAAGAGTGGTCAAAGCAGACATTTTTCTGAAATATACCTGAATTTTTTTTCCTATTACAATGAAGTAAAAAGAGGAAAACATTAATACATAGCTGGCGATAGTGAAATAGGAAGAATCTGGAGGTTCTCATGCTCCAAACCAGAAGTTTTTGGGAGGTTTGTGCAGCACACTGGTACCATTTCAAAAGAATTCCAAATTGACTTTAAATTCACTTTATGATGCATGATTTAGGTTATTCAACTACTCATACTGTATTTTTTTTAATATACTAAATAAAGTACATTGATACTTAACTAGACATTCTAAATTTTACGTTTTAAAGCTAATTTTAGTTTGTAAGTTTTTAACGCTTTTATACAGTGAAAATCCTGAGTAGGGAAGGAAAGTCATAATTTATCAATGTAATTTTAAACATGATGAAAATAAAATGAACAATTAATATACGTAAACCATTGTTGATAAACTTAGTAAGCTTACCATATACTAATGTAAAAAAAAAAAAAAAAAATATCAATAGATTAAACATTGGTTGAATTTCCAAGAAAAATTCTACAAATGTCTGCAGTATAATACGGCAGTTCAGATAAAAAAATTTACCACGAAAAATTACTAGGTTGGGTGCATGAAATATGCTCAGATTAAGTTTTATGGATGCAATAGATAAAATTGTTAAAAGAAAATCTTTGAAAGAATGCTAAAAAAATGTTTGTCTAATTCAATGCTAAAAAACATCTTCATTGGTAATAGCTAAAATTGAAGAACTGGCAGATTTGGTCATCTACCTGGAGACTGGAAAAATGTGATAATGATTCGCTTTATGTGATTACTGCAAAGCCTTGAGGGCTATCTGTTTAAGGGAAGGGATACATTCATAGATGACTTTCTAAGGAAAACTGGCTCATAAACATGTTACACATGGGAGAAAAACCACGAAAACAAGCATACAGCCAGCTCACAAGATGCAAACCTCAGACCAAACTACTACCAGTGTTCAGCTGCTGGTGGGCCAGGATGCATGATAAAAACTGGGAATTGGAAGCTATATATAGCATAGTATAACATAAATATAGGCAGCTTTGCAGCATAGTATAACATAAATATAGATTTATAATATAATACTTTTAGCACAGTTCTAACATAATATAGTTTATAGCACTTTTAACGTAGTATAACATAAACATTGATAATATGTATAACATAAATACAGATAGCTTTTTATAGCATCTAATCTGGCAAAAGGGGGAGGGAAAGAGAGAGTGACAGAGAAACAAATTAATAATTAGTTTAATTTAGCTTGAAAAGTTCAAAAAGTGATCTCCAGTAATTGGAATTCTATTTACTTATAAAAAACAATCCCAAATCTTGTTGTTTCAAAGGAAAAAAAAAATGTCATGACTGCAGCAAGCAAAACTACAAGCATGGCAACTGTCGTATTTGAGAAACGATTAAAAACACATGCATGAGATTTAAAAAAGCCTAATAGTAAGTATCTTTAACTTTCCTCTTTGTTAAAGAGGCCATGCCAATCTTGTTCTGGCAGTAGACATATTACAAGTGCATAGTATAAAGATTAATCCAGCCCATGTAAAAATAAAAAAGCATTCTTACTTTTAAAAATTTTCATTTGAAGATAATGCCTTAAATCTAATTGCATAATATCTAACAGAATATTCATAACTGATTATTCTCAATGGTAGTTATTCAGTGCTGAGAGTAAACACATCAAAATATAAATGTAAAAAGCTAAAATTAGAAAAAACTTTATATGAAAATTATTAAAAAAATAATTAAGAAAGAGAAAATAATGAGAGTTCATATTTGCACTTTACCATATTACAACATAAAATAAACTCATTAGAAAGATAAAAAAAATCTAATGTGCATTTAGATTTACAGCATATATAAATATTAAGTTGTAACACAACACCCAAGTTTTTGATCAACAGTAAAAGAATGTAAACCCATAGTGTAAACAAAGAAATGCACATACATCTACACTGATTTTTGCCTAATTTTAAATCACCAAGAGAGGTATTAATACATAGGTATTTACATTTGCTGATGATTTCCAACATGAAACAACAAAAGTGTGACTACTTCTTTTTCATACTTCAACAGATAAATACAATTAACAATCCCATAATTCACTTTTAAAACTTTTGAGTAAAATTTTTTAAAAAATTATAACCACAATATACACATAAAAAAAAGTACTCATATCATAGTGAACTAAATATACAGACCTGAGGTATCATTTCTTCTTTGCGTATCAAACGGATAGCAATCCGCAATATACCAACAACAGCTCTCTCAAGAAGATATTTATGATCACTAGCGGCTGATGCCATGATAAGATTTAACAGATGATCTCGGATAATTCTCCAAATACTCATTACTCTGTCTCTAAGAAAGAATATTACATAAAGGATTATAAAGATATAATATTTATATGTATAAATGGTTTGTATACATGAGATAAACTTTGTGTGTCACTAATTCCAAATTTTTATAAAATCTGACATATACAGATCACATACAACAAAATTTGTTGATGGGTGGTGGTTTTGCTGTTCAGTATGTATCAGATAAAATTAACAGCACTTTGCAACCAACATTGGCAGACAGAAGTATTCAGAATAACTTTTAATGTATATAAATATTTGAATGATAAAATTAGGTTTTCAAAAAAGTATTCATATACACTGGTTTTACTATACACAGCATTTTTACAAATGTTAATACCTTGAAACATTAGGGTTTATCAATAGCTATTCCCCCCATAACTTTTAAAGTAATTGCAATCTTTCTGGATTTCCCTTGTATATATCTAAAAGGCATGCATATTTATATTATTTTACTTAAAACTCACTCCTGAGAGCTCAATATCCCATAGTTTTCTGTGAAATTTCATAGCATAAATACAACTTATTTTTCTTTTCTTTATGTAATTCCAAACAATTTATTGCATTTCAATAATATTTTTATACATTCCTTTCTTTTCCAAAATTATGTTTTACTGATATGCCCTTTTCAGATTTGCTAGATATTAAATTTACTAATATTTAATTTGGGATTTAGTTTGCATGAGGGAAAAATATTTCTGTTTGCTGATAGGTCTTAATGCAATATTAGAAAGAAATATAATATATTATACAGCTCTAAAAAATTTCTCAGGAAGTATTTTATGGAATTTAATATTAATTTGTCTGCAAAAATTTTTATTTCATTTGTGATTGTTTGAATATATATATATATATATATATATATTTTTCATTTTACACTTAGCTTTTGTATCTAATACAAGAAAGCCACAAAAAGGTGTATGAACAAGCCTTATTAAATATGGATCTGTTTTTCCATGGTAATTTTTAAGCTATTAAGAAAAGACATACGAAGAAATGCTACAGCTGCAGTATAATGTACTTAAAAAATTTTCATATTTAAAAAGCTTATTTTAATCCTGCCCTATTCATTCACGATTTTATGAATGGAACTCAAAACATTTTCTTATTAGTTTGTCACAATTCCTTTATGGCTTTGAACATACTACTTAAGAAAGTAAAAGAATTATTTCAATATCACAACTATTTTTAATATTTTGATCCTGACCACAGCACGCATTAAAAAAAAAAAAAATGCAGAGAGAGATATATTACCTGTTCAGTAGCACAATTTTAATTAGAAGTTCCATTAAGAAAACTGTAGAATCTTCATCATAACTTCCACCAATTGATGAGGGAGATTCAGGAGCATGGCAAACAAATATTAAAGTCTAGATGGTAAACAATATATATACATTCTCATTTTTGAAGTATGAAATTCAAGCAGATAATAGTGACAAAACAAATTAAAAATAAATAAGTAAATAAAGTGAAATTTAGTTTCCAAATCATATTTAAACATCTTCCATATTTTATCAATAAAACATGCATGCCCCAGTTGATGTATTAGAACTTTAATTTCGATGTTCAGTTCCTTTAGGACAAACCTCATATATGGAGGAAAAAAAAAAAAAAAAAAAAAAAAAAAAAAAAAAACCTTTTACTTTGTACTAACAACCTTTTACCTTGTACTAACAACATAAACATTATAAATATTATTGTGAAATATCATTAGAGTCCAGATGCTTATAATTACAGATGAAGCATTCAAATCTTTGAAACCATATATCATGAAAAATTCAAGATTAATATACTCTAATCTTTACATTTTTTCCATCATTCAAAACATTTGAATTTTAACATAAAAAATTATGTATTAAATGCTTTAATTCAAAACAGTTATAAGAAATTAACAGCATGATTAACTTATTGATAACCAACAGAAGTGTTCATTAAAAAATATAATTATCATCATACACTGTTGACCACCGTAAATGCAACTCCCTGAAGGAAGCATACAAATAATATGAAATTTACAACATGCATTAATGGAGGTGAGATATGTAAATGATTAGAATTTCAGCGCAGATGCACATCATGTGCGCCTGCGATGCCACTTCAAAGCACTATTTAAGGCTTGGAGTTTTCGATGATTTCAAGTTCGGCAATCGTGTTTTTCTTGTAGTTTAAAAAAAAAAAAAAAAAAAGATCAATTATGCTTTGTTGTAAACAGCAATCATTGTTTGATCAAGTATCCGAGTTCGAAAGACAAAGAATAGTGACCTACTGAGAGTGCGGATTATCTTTCAGGGAAATCGGTTGTCGTGTTGGATGAAACCAAACAACTGTAAAGCGGATATGTGACCGTTGGATTTACGAGGGTACAACGGACTGACCTGCTTGATCGCATCCACCGCAATGCACCACTTCACGTGACAACAGAAACATTGTGCGCATAGCAGTGACGGATCACTCAGTCACATCACGAACCATAGCACAGCACATTCAGTCTGTAATGCATCATCCAGTGTCTGCGCGTAGCATTTGACGCCGTTTACAGCAGAGTGGTCTGTCCACAAAACGTCCATTGCTTTGTCTACCCTTGACGCAGAACCACAGATGTCTCTGCCCCCAATGGTGTGATGAAAGAAGGATGTGGACAGCAGAATGAGATGAAATTGTCTTTACTGATGAGTCATGCTTCTGTCTGTAACACCACGATGGTCAGATTCGAATCTGGAGACACCGTGGAGAGAGGATACTGAATAGCTGCGTTATGCACCCCCACACTGGTCCTGCACCGGGTACTATGGTATGGAACGGTATTGGATATCACTCTCGCACTCCTCTAGTATGCATTACTGGTGCCAAGGTGTTGGAGCCAGCTGTCCTTCCTTACCTTCAGGGTTTTCCCACAGCCATATTTCAACAGGATAATGCACGACCAAACGTGGCAGGCACTGTCCAAGGGTTCTTCGTCAATTGCCAGATTAAATCGCTTCCCTGGCCGGCCGGCTCGATCTCCGGATCTTTTGCCGATAGAAAACATGTGGTCCATGGTTGCTGAACGATTGACCCAGATTACATCCCAAGCTGCCACATCAGATCAACTTTGGCAACGTGTGGAAGCTGCTTGGTCTGCTGTATCCCAAGAACACATCCGAAGTCTCTTTGAATCAATGCCGAGACGTGTGGCAGCGGTGATCTCCAACAATGGCGGCTACTCTGGCTACTGATTCCAGAAGGAATTATACTTCACAGAAGTCTATAAATTTAATCATTTGATCCTTGGTCAACATGTTATCTACTAAATAAATTTTGTTGTGATATCTCTTGTCTTTCTTGGTGTTGCAATTTGGGTGGTCAGCAGTGTATTTCCATGGGCCAGGATAACCAATATCATACTGTGTTGCTCCTGAGTACTCTTTATTTTCTACAGACAATATGTCATTGCTTGTTTAGTATTTATTTATGCTATTGTCTGTAATAATCCTTCAACCTCTATATTTGCTTTGATTTTAAAATAATCTCAAAAACAGATGTTAAAAGTCCGAATTATTAGTCAAATTCAACAATTTTGCACTTTAATATATTTAATTTAGATTTTTTTAAATATGTTTAGGTGTATTTAAAAAAAAATTCATTTTCAAATTTCAGATTTTGCTCTTAAGGTTATGTAAAGGTATTTTTCTTCTTAAAATTATACTTACATAAGAATTTGAGAACTTTTTGGTATTTGGATTTGAATACAAGAAAATGAAAAGAAATCTCACTTTAGCAACCTCATCAACAAACAGTTCCTGTATCTTGAACCTCTCAAAATGGGAGACTAGTACATATTATTATTTAAAGACACTCACTGATAATGGACAAAAACCTCTGCTGCACTTCTGCTGGGACCTTGTCAACAACTGCACTTTGGCAGACAACAGTCACAAACAGTTCCTGAATTCTGAGATTCTCAAAGTAGGAGACCAGTACATTCTCATTTTTCTGACTCTCTCTGATAATGGAAAACAGCCTTTTGTCCCATACACATCTCCTTAGAGGAGGTTTAACTGTGTTTGAATACAATCCCCCAAATTCAAACTAACAATATCTTTGGTAATTTTGACACTGCCATGATGTATTTTTTATGTGTGATGTATATAAAAATAATTTTTTATAATGTGCTACTTGACAAAAATTGCTGCAGTTTGAAAGTCTGTCTTATTCAACTCATTTCTTAGATGGAATCTTGAGTCATTCATCCAAGAGTTATTTACTTATCCAATCTTTCTGAAATACCCTGCATTGAGCTCTATCTCAAATTACTCCAAATTCTCAAACTTTGAACTTACAATTTCTAAACAAGGAGTTCAAGTGATGTAGGAGATCATCATCTCTGAGCTCCTACAAATGACAGGATAATTAAAAAGAAAGAGATTGTAGGAGGCAGAAATAAATTATTATACTGGAAACTTTAAGTTGGTTAACATTTTTCTCTTTAGTTTGCAAGAAAAAAAAAAAAAAAAAAACTGGGTGAGATTCTCTGGCAAATGAAAACCACAGCCTTCCCTTATTCCCTTACCTCACCGTACCTCAAAATAGCAATCTGAAAATTTTAGATTACTGTCTAAGGCATCAATGAGTTTATCATCAAAACTTGGAAAAGTTTCAAAATTTGTTTACTAATTTTAGTCCCTGTTTTTTAAAGTTTATTCATTAAGATAATGTTTATATCATTAAAACAGAAAAAGGAAAGGAAACAAAATATTTTAAATAATGAGCTAATACACACATCAAATGACAAAAAAAAAAAAAAAAAAAAAAAAAAAAAAAAAAAATCTCTTGACCAGATAAAAGCAGTCATACCAGTCAGAGTACTAATATACAAACTTAAGTGGTGCCAGTGCGGTTATTTCTTCATACGATAATAAACAGCTGTGCTTATGGTATTGAAATATGATGTCACACCAATGCAGGGTAAGCTAAGCAATTATGAAGGGCCTAAAGCTTAAGAATCAGTTTCTCAGAAGTTAAAATTGTTGTGTGTAAAACCTTTTAACTATTCAAAATGGCAAAACAAAATAAAAGCAAAGATAATTATATCACATTATTTCATCATAAATCAATGCTACACTCAGATCTGTGCACTTACACAGGTTTCCTTTAAAAAAGAAACATGCCATTCAATAAACTGTTTTGAATATTTGTATAAAATATTTGCTTCTTTAGGAACATTTTTTGCTCCTAAAATGATCAGCAATCAAACTATATATGTTACAGTGGTGTTAATTAATCTAAAAGTTCTTTATTATAATGTAAAAGTTAAATGAATTACCTTTACTAATTCTTGTAGCGAGTCCACTCTAAGAAATTTGCTTTCAGTGAACAGCTGCTCACAGTGACATTCAGCAATACATTTTAATGCAGCCTGCTTTGCTGCTTCATCTTCTTGTGTAGGCTGTTTTTGCGGAGAATCAGATGTGATATACATATAAAAAGAGCTGAAAAGACCAGATTCTGCTCGAGGCATGACAGGAACATCTTCACGGACCAAAGATATGACACCTTTTGGATTAACAAAATCTTCAGCCTAAAAAGATATAGATTTGCTTTTAAAAATATTTTTCTACACAGATTCTATTGTAATACCTTGTTGATCAGCTGTTATAAGCCAAACCTGCATGTGGCTAGTTACTTTTCTGCACTTAAATATGAAATGAAAACAGATAAATAAACCTCAATTCATTTTATTCAGTAATCATGCACAAAAATCAAACTTATCACATACATTTAATATTTTTTTAAAGAAAGATATGTGTAATGTAGTTATGTGCAACAATGCAGAATATGTGTTACAAACATTCACTTTAGTTTCTTTTGCTCTTGGAAGAATATATACTTACATATTCTAACAGAATTTGTTTTCTCTCTGGTAATTACTGTTTTCCTAAAACATGATTTTTTTTATTCTTCCTAAGAGTCTGCAGAGAAAATCCTTATTTGGAATTCTAAACATACTAGATGAAGTGCCAGGTTCTATAGTGATCACAGCTCAATTACATGCTAACAATTTTCTAGCATGTAATTCTAGTAGAAAATATCACTAGTCTATTTGTTTTTCTTGACTACTACTACTGTAGTAGTTAGTTTTAAATGTATTGAATATGACAATATTTATCAAGAATGGTTACTATTATGAACCATTTTATGGTTCCATGAACAATATTGTTGTACATAAGATACTGATAATTTCAACCCATATTTTCGTGTAATTGTTTAATTCACTGTGAAAATAGGTTTTTTACAATACTTAACAAGTGCTATGGAACAGATTTCTTTTTTTTCTTTTTTTTTTTTTTTGCCATGCCAAATATTATTTAAAGAAATGAGACCTAGCATAAAGATTATTATAGGTTCTAAAGTATCACTATTCTGCAAATATATAATATATATACATACACTAGTTATCACATGGAAAACACAATAGGCAGAATAAAAAACCTGATGTGAACATCACATGACTTCCTAGTATGGCCTATTAAATTATACACATTTTTTGCTGCATTTCATTTAAACATATTAGTTCCTCAAATTTCATTAGAGATATATTTCTCATCAATTAATTCAATTCTCACTCTGCAACAAGGCAAAAATACATAAAAACTGAAAACATCATCATTAAAAATTGTAAAATACAGAAAAAATATAAAACAGTAAATACAGTTATAAACAGTTAAAAAAAAACAATTTTTACAATTAAAATTACAGTTCTAAGCAAAAACAAGCAATTCGGCCAGCTGGTAGGAACACAGATTTTTTTGGTGTATTAATTTATGAGTTTACTTTCGGTCCCACTCAGCAAAAAGACACTGCATTTGCTGCACAAACTTAATTTATTGCCTTTCATGTAAACAAATAACAGCTTCATTAGGTTTAGTACCACTTAAGCAACTTTTAAATTTAGGTTAAAATAACACACCGAACAAAGATTAATTTTAGAAGTTAAAAAAAAAAAAAAAAAAAAAAAAATCAGCGTGCAAATTTTCTGGGACTAGTTTTGATGGTTTAACTACCGAAACAGCTTCCTCAGCTGCCAAAGTGCAAATGAATGCTCATTTACAGGTAAAGAAACATTATTAAATCAACGAGAAATGGTTCTTGAGATAATGAGTGTCAGTAACATTAAGAATGTAATTTGGTTTGGTTTGGTTTATTTAATTATGGCAAAGCACACTAGGGCTATCTGCCTAAGGGGAGGGATGTCTTCGCGGAGGACTTTCTAAGGGAAACTGGCTCGAATACACGTTATACATGGGGAAAACCACGAAAATGCCCATGCAGCCAGCCCGTTCGCGGAATTCGAACTACCAGTGTTCAGCAACTTTACCGCTCGGCCGCTGGTGGGCTATTAAGAATGTGATTTGCATCTATTTGGACAGGAGTAGAATTTCTGTGCCTTTTCGCTGTTAAGGTGGCATGCTTATCCTCTTGAGGTGACTCACATTGTTTTCTTACATCTTCCAGCATGCTTTTACAGACCACTTCCACCTTTGGGAGCCTACTTTAACCATGAGGTAATAATCTTTGACATGCCTATTGCTGTAGCAACATGAATGATACTTTGTCCTGCCTTACAATATCCAGCTGCTATAATACCACTGTACAGACTGCAGTGACATCTTAACAACCTTCTGCAGTCATTCAGAAAACCAGCATGACTTTTCTTCAAATATTATTGCTTGCAGTTACAAATAACAATGTGAGTCCATGGCCTTTTATACTATACTTCCTTATAGAAGTATATACTATACTTCCAGATATACTGTATTATTTTATACAGATAAGAGGTAATATCCTATAATGCTCTTTCCACTTATTTTTTCTGTTATTGCACAACTGTTGTGAACAAAAATTTGTATAAATAAGTTGTTCCTTAACAACTGCCAAGTAGTGTATATTGTTAGGTACGACTGACTATCAAGAGACACCACAAATACTGAAATCACATGCACTAGCTTATCATCCATCCATATAAGAGGAGTCAGAAATCCTTTCTGAAAAAACATCATTTTCCCAATTAAAAAGCTTTTTGATTTCTTTTTTAATAATTTTGGCATTCCAAGGTTTTCCTTTTTTTTTTTTTTATTGTATTATAGATTAAAGTTCATTTCTTCACAATAATAAGTATGCAGCTGCATAGAGCTATTACAGCTTGATATGTGCCAGATTATAATATCCATCTTGTGCCAATAAAAAGGCCACAGGATGGATAATAGAATTTGTTGTAATTTCCATTTCTTAACTAGTATTTATTTTCTATTTTTGTCTCCCCCCTTTTTTTTAATTATTTTTACATCTTGAAATCTGATACGGGAAGTTTATGTGTTGTATCATTTCTGAAAGGAAGAATTAAACAAACAGCATGGGCCATTTAGAAAGACATGCAAACCTATTATTATTATATTTGGTATTTCAAAGGCTAAAGAATTAATTTCAACAACATTCTTTTAACTTACATAATACACTTTCACAACTGTGTACACATTTTATACAGTTCCTATAAAGACATATTACTGAATTGCATATTTCAAAGTATATTAAGTTATTAACTTTGATTTTTTTATACAATGCACTTTTCTATTTGTGTATACAATTTAGATTGTTATCCTAAATCAACAACCAATCTACCTTCCACAAAATATCCTCAATAAAATTCAATATTTGATTATATTTTCCAGATTGCACATATTAAATTTAAGATATCCTTTCCACAGAATCATTCTTTCATTGAGTGATAATTATTGGTTTAAAACATAAAGATATACATTTTGAAATTGACCAGTTGATGACCAGCTGATCAGTAATCTTTCCATTTTGGCATTTTCATTTGTACCAGAAATATAATTAAACCAATAAACTTTTTTTACACAGGGGAACATATGTCCACAGTAAAGTTTTAGAGGAGTTTTATTATATGTTTCCATTAAGTGATGGTATGAATTGCTTAGAGAAGTAATCAGATCAAATAAGGTATCAAAAAGTAAATTTGCCCCTCCATTTATACTTCCAGGATTTTAAAATAAATACAGTTACACATGAAATCCTCTGAAGTTTTCTGCCCATTCTTCTTTATTCTGTCACATTTGTTTTCTGATACTATCATTCTGAAAGTAAATTCACCTACATAACTATCTTTTCAAATAAGGGGATGTTGGTGAAAAATATTAACTTATCTGCTATATCAAAAATATAAAGAATCGAAACTGCCAAAGATGCTATATGTAAAAGAATAATTTGACACTGTTTACAATGAACACACAAAGGCACTGTTTACTTTCATGCTAAATTGCCTAGTGTCATGGCTCTAGTGTAGAAATGGGTGCCCCTTCAATTAGTGACAATTTTTTTTTTTTAAATTCTGGCGATGAAACCTCATTTCTGGTTACCATGATAGTTTTAACTTTGTTTCAGCTTCCTGATTTTTTTTTTTTATTATTATTATTTTTTTTAATGAAAATAGATTGATGTGTACATTGACAAAGTTAAGACAGTGCACAAAGCCTAGTTTGTGCAATTCTCTGATGTTTTTTCAAGTGAAAATAGATCAATGTGTACATGGATACAGAGTTTCTGCAGTTCTTTGACTTCTTATTTTGGTTTTGTGTAGCAGCCATCTTGAAATTGTTGCTTCCTGGAGCTGACCTTGGCGTCAAAAAAGAAACACCAAAAAAATAAGTGGCACCCAATTGTAAACTTTTACCATCTCTCATAATTAATTTACATTTATTCATTGTCCCACACTAGCAACAGAATTAGCACTGTCACCACCACGGAATTCGGTTGATAGAATGTACCTGACCTATAACTGTCTCAATGTTTAGTTTTAACTGAACTATGTTACTGGATTACATTATTAGATGCTTTTATATGGATACTTTAACTACTGTATGCTTATGATTTGTGATTTGAATAAAGTAGTAGTAGCTGAATCTATTAAAGCAAAACGAAACATCGCAATCACATATTGGTCCCATTTGATTATCAGCCATAAAACAGACACCAAAAGAATATTTTTCAAAACGAGACAGATTACAGTGATTTATAGTCTACATTCTAAGTTTTAAGAAGAAAACTACTTTAAATATTAGATATTCTCATTACTGAAAATATAAAATGAAATAAATTCATTAAGTAGATCAAGACCACAAATGAATTACTCAGTCAATGGAAAAGAAATTTAAATGTTATATTTAATTCTTTTATAAGCATCTGTTTTATTCCTACTTTAGCAATGAAAATACACATGCCACAGAATTTGTATACTAAGAATACAGCACAGAATAAAATTACTTAATCATTTGTAGAACAGGCAGATGCAGTTGATACACTCTTCACTTATGGTGAGTTATACAGATTATTACTTGAGCACAAGAGAAAACATTCATTAATTATTGTTTTTTCAGCATTCAGCCATTATATATTTACTGGCCAAATTAAAATTCAAATTCCTACCAGTTTTAAAAATTAAATCTAAAAAATTATAGAATGATACAAACCTCTAATAATTCCTTTGGTAATAAGGATGATTTATACAACTGCAAAACACAATCTAATATATTCTTCCACCCTTCTCTTAAAATATCTCCATGATGATGTGCTAAGCGGAACATAGCTTTTGTTGCCACCTGAGCCTTAGAATTGTTCCCAAATGATAAAGAAAGAGTTTTTGGCGTCTGAAAAAAACAGTAATGAAAGTATATAATTTTAGTATATGTACAATAAATCAGTTTAAATTCCTTATACCCACATTAAAAATAAAAGAAATACATAGCAATACATTTTTCTATTAACATGCACATTTGAAGAAAATGCAGGTTTTTAATAACCTTAAACAGATTCTCAATCAATAACACAGAAAATGAAGCAATTTGAATCCAGTGCAATTATTTTAACAATCCGCAAACTTTAACAATCTGCATAAACTCTAGTTTGATATAATTGTAATATTTATTTGCAAATTTTTAATAATACTGTTGATTTCAAGAATGATCAGACACAGGTCTCTCTTCTTCAGACAGAAGACGGCAGAAAATATCTACCAGGCTTTCTAAAACAAATCCGTCATTTAATAAATTTTCTAAAGAACACAAAGACAAGATCACAGAATTCCCTATAAATGGTGACATAAGGAATGCCTTCTAAGTAGTATTAAGATTAGGGTTATGACATCGGTCAAATAATTTACAGAAATATCAGATACAGTTCATAAATGAATTTTTCAATTAGGCTTGCAGACAATTCCCTAGTAACTTTTTTCGTACTTAAAATGTTGTGAAAATAAGTACTTATATGTTCCTAATTCATGAATTTATATTTTAAGTTGTATGCAGAGTACAATTTCCTCTCTTCAAATTAAAAGATAACAAAAAAATAGTGACAACATTGCTTCTCCACTGGTTGCTACTAAGAAAATATTTTTATTTTATCTGATTGTTGGGGGTCAACAACAACAATTGCAATTTAGTTGCTTGGCTAGCAACATTTTACAATTCACATAGATTAAGTCTATTTTGATATAATTATTTTTATTATTATTATAGCTGCCACATCATGCCTGCTGAAATCTCACATTTTTAAAATAAGCCCTCCTAGTAGATAACAGTTGCCAACACCTGGCCTGTCTTCATTTTGCCTTTATTGGTTTAACAAAAAAGTAATTTCAATTTTTTAGTGTAAAAAAAAGGCTTAATTTTTTTATGTCAAAACAGAGTTCATTTTTTAAGATTAAAGTTCATTTTTTGTATAAAATAAACTTTTTTATACCAAAAATGAACTTAATCAACCAATAATCTTCGATTCTGTTCAATGATCTTCTGCCATCTTTCTGGTATTTCATGACTCCATGCTAACTTACGGTCTTTATCCCGGGGAGGGGGGACTCAACCAAGTGTGATTTTAGATCACCATTATTACTGAAATTTTTACCTTTTAAAGTTTTCTAAATTTTGAAATAAATGATAATCCAAAGGTGCAAGGTTGGGCTACATGGGGGATGTAACATCACTTTCAAACCAAACTTCAATAATTCACTATTAGCCACATATAGATTTCTTCTCATAAAATTTTTTGTTTCTTATAAAATCATTATTATTTACAACCAGAATAGTATATATGAGTAGTAAATGTAGGAAGCCTTTTTTGCCAATTCACAAAAAATGCCAATGACTTGTTTACTTTTGAAGCAGAAGACAGATCATGAGAAGGTAGCAAAAACTTTCTCTATCACAACATTATTGGTCAGATAGACTAAAACAATGGTATTGCTAAAATAACAAATTTTAAACCAAGAAGTTTAACAAAATTTTAATGATTTGAATTTGATCTTTCTCACATATGCTATTTTTGTGTTATCTTTTCTATTGTGTCTGTTATGTTAATGCAGTTCCTTTTCAAATGCTGCATACTTTCATTTTTAATCAGAAATGACCAAAAATATAATGAAAGCTATTTTTTTCCAGTTTACTTTAACTAAAATCATGTAATTTTAACTGTTTTAATATATATTTTATTTCATACTTTTTAGTCCATAAAAAGATGAAAATAGCAAAGAAAATCACTGCCTAAAAATGTATGAAAATGATTCTCTCTAGTCATCACAATGAAGTATATGACATCACCTTTATTTCCAGGTTTACTGAATTTATTCAACAATGTAAAATTAGTTTCAATTTATTTGAATTTTTCTTTTGCAAGTTTGATTTAAAAATCTCTTAGTCACTGTTAATAAACTTCGCTGAAAGATTAACTTTTCATTCTGTCTGATGCTCCAGAAGACCAAAATTTTGTGATGATTAGTTTGAGTGTTAGTTGAGAACATATGCGCAAAGCACCTAAAAAACTATAAATTTTGATAAAAATTTGTATTGAAATATTACATTGCTATTGCAAATACACACATGTGCAAAATTTAAACGAGCACAGCACAACAAAAGTAGATAAAGTAGGTTGTAAATGATCTGACCCAAACAAACAAAGATACCAGCTTAAATAAAACTGCACACAAAGTTATAATACAAACAAAGAAAAAAGAGTTTACTTTTATAAGTATTAACCACTTTTTTTTGGGGGGGGGAGAATTAAATCAAATGGTGAAGGCAAACATTTTTCTTTACCTCTGTTGTATTTGTCAAAGTACTGAACTTGCAGAGAGATATTATCAGGTTGTCAAACACATCACTCATTCCATAATGAGCTGCAATCATAGCACACTTTCTAAAGCCATTGATAGTCTTTTCAATTATTACAGGCTCAGAGCTCTTGTCAAATATAAAAGACAATGCTGCAACGGTAGGACCCCATACCAAAGAAAACAGATCATGGTCAAATAATCCATTTGGTGTATGAATAAATTTTCCCTCTTTGCTGCTGCCACGACGCAATAATACCTATAAACATAAATATACTTTAGAGCCTTATACAAAACCAGAAACAATGAGAAAATAAATTCATTAATTAACAGTGATTTTTGTTAAATGTTCAATTTATGCTGATTTTTATATATTTTTTAACACTGTTTACCTTGAAATCAGACTTTTTTCCTATCATCCACAGTTTTTTCAGTATGAAACACAGTATGAAATTATCTTTCCTCATATTTACTATTATTGCTTTCCCTCATGCGATTATTGGGTGTTAATTCAGGATAATGTACAAAATTTAAAACATAAATTTGAAATTATGAAGAAAAGGTTGGAAAAAAATCGTTGTTTCACTTCCATTAAACAAGAAAGAATTTAGTTGGCAGTGATTTATAGCGCTAATATAAAACTCTGAATATTTCACATCATAATCACCTTCCATAAATAATTTTCTCTAACAATACCAGTTTGCTCAGCAGGCATAACAATTTCTTCATTTCTGAAAGGATAAGATATGAAACTATTTAGAATAAAAAATTCAATATAAACAATATCATTTAGAACATTATACAAATGAGAATAATAAAAGTACACCTAAACAAATTATTATGCATTGAAATATAATTTAAATATAAATAATAATAATATATAGGTATGTGAATGTCTCCTGTTTCAATATGTTTAATTTTTTTATGATTATTAAGTACAAAATATAATTTTTCCATTTTTTTTCATTGTGCATTGAAACTTGCTTTTCAGGCATCAGTCTCCATTGGGCAGCCTAATAAAAGTCTCAAAGTATGCAAAAAATAAACATCTTCTGCAAAAAATAAACATCTCTTCATCATTAAGATCATCGCAAATGTATAGGTAGTTGCCAGGTATGTCAGCTAGGTCATATAATGAACACACTGAGAGAAATTCTGAAAAGAAAAATTCTCAGGAAGTCATAAAGCTCCTTTTTACCACAAAAGCACAGAAGAAAATGCTTTAATGGTATCCTGAGAGTCAATAATGATACCATCTGACTCCATTCTCTTGCCAATTTTCTCAAAAGCTAAAGAAAAGCAGCCACTTCAACATCAAAGTTACGACAAAATTTACTAACACCTCAGCAAAGATTTGAATGCTTTTATTCACCTCTTCTCCAGTATTTTTAATAGCATCCACAGTGGAACTATTAATGTAAATATGCAGCTAATTTGCAGAAATCTATCCCTCATCAATTGTAGCAAGAATAAAGTTCTGTATCTGTGGAAAATTTCTTGCTTGTCGGAAGAATCAGCTCCAGAGTATAGTTAACTGTGCCGACAGATGGTTAGTTTACACACAGAACTTTTATTAAGGCTCTGATACTTGTATTTCTCAAACTAAGAAATAATACTCATCACTCATTATAAAATTCAATCATGTATTTTAAAGCTTTTGAATTCTAACCTAAAAAAGTATTAAGTACATTAATCCGAAACAATGGAAGGATTAAATTTATTTAAAAATATTAATTTTTTTCAAAAGTAGAAAATGTGGAGTTTTTTTACGAAACGCTTAAGTATACTACCATCAGTAGAAAACTTTGACTATCAATACATCAGGTATCATAGTGAATTTAAAAGAAAAAAATGAAAGAAAAAAGTAGGCTGGATCTAAAGAGAAATTGAATGCTACTTTTTTTAGGTTAAAAAAAAAAACTTAAGGTTTTCCTTTTCCCTAAAATTGTTTAGTAATAGAGCTTTTAAGAATTCTTATGACAAAAAAGTTTTCAAGATAAGATACATATTTGTTAGCCCAGGTCACATACTCTCACTAACGTTTGGCAACAAAACCTCTCTAGTCACATTTTGGCAAGCCTTATTTAGCCTAAAGGGCATAAACCCAGAATGGGTATTGATTTTGTTTTGGCATTTTGCATCGAAAACTTTAAAACTCTGAATCATTTTTCAAATTGTTGCCACCAATATTATTGCCCTGTATTATATTTAAAGAAGTTAAATAATGAAGAATCTCATAAATATGTGCATGTTTCTTGCATTGTGATAAAACAATGGCACCTAAAGCCATCAAATTTTGAATAACGTATATCTCAACCCAAATATGGGCATCCGGAAGCCCAACTCTGGAATTTGTTTCATTATCTATTTCCTATTTCGTAAAGCATTTATGAGTTACTGATTGAGAAAAAAACTCACCGATTTCAAAGCAAGCAATGGCGACACTGTACGGGGAAATGAAGAAAAAAAAAAATTATCTCCAGTGCATGAGACTGTGTATCAAAAATTCTAAAGATATGCTCTTTTTAAATTATTTTACGATATTTCTGTTGAATTGAATTTTATGGTTTAAGTGCGAAGAACAAGATACTTAATAAGTAAAGGTAACACAAAACGTTAGAAAAACATCCCTTTGGGCGTAATATAAAATCTGAAAACTTTTTTTTGAAAATATATTTTAAAAATATTTCCTTTTCTTTAGTACATATATCCATAAAAGAGGCATGCCTGGCTTTTTAATGGTTTGAGTATGTATATGCCTTCTGAAGTCCTGACAACAAAATTATGATTTACAGTTTGATGAGTATACCAAGATTCTTATAGCTGCTGCACTGAATATCTTTATTTAACAGCCTGTAAATATTACACAGCACTAAGCCACATTGTCTGTAATTACCTCTATTAAAGTTTTTGTAAATGTTTTTCAACCATTTGAAAAAACTATTTAATTGTTTCATAATAAAAGCTGCTGAAAATTCATTTTTATATTTTGCTGTTTATTTTCCTTTCCAATGCTATTTTCTGATGTTTTTTTTTTTTTTTTTTTTTTTTTTTTTTTTTTTTAGTGGGGGTTGAAGATTATTTATTTTTAAAATGTACTATTTGCACTCATTTATTTTAAGAATTCTTAAAACAGAAAAATATTTTTTTGAGAGACTTTAGAATTTTATACTTAGTAATTATCTGTGATAATTCTTAAAATAGTTTCCTCTCTAAATTTGTTTTAATTTGAAAAAAAAAAAAAAAAAAAAAGTTGCTAAAAGATTTTTTGCCAAATTATGTCAAGAAAGCAATCCTCAAGGTTCAATAATTTTAATTATGCATTTTGTTCTCTGTAACAAATTTAGGCATGTTTTAAAAACTACACTCTTAAATTTATTTTTTATTAAATACAGATTTTAAATTTTGCCTTAATTAACAACCTTCCTCCCTCATGAAAAATTTGAGAATATTTACGACTCATCTCCCATCAGCTGAATGTTTATTTAATGATGAAAATATTTAACTACATATCTAAGACATAAGACAGCAATTACTCACTTGATAGATGCATAAATTTCTTCTAACAAATTTTCATCAAAATCATTTCCTCCATTAACACCTTTCAAATTTTTCTTGAAGTCCTTTTAGGGAAAGAAAAAATGAAAATAAAAATGACTTATATACATATTTACCTATTTATACATTGTACATACGTACATACAGAAGTGACACATAATATACTCCTTCGACAGGGTTCGTAGCCACATTTTAGTTAAAGAAATAAGCACCTATAAGCACTTTTCAAGCACATTTTAAGAAAAAAATTAAGCACCTGTCTAATTACATTATACACAACTGCATAAAATTAGACGTGTAATTTAAAATATGAGAAATTCAGTATTTATTAAGAGAAATTTTAAATAATTTTAAACAGTTCAATTTACAGAACTAGTTTACAATGAGAGGGAAAAAACTATGCAGAACTAAATTATATTACAAGATTTAATGATGAAATTTCAATTCAAAATAGAGAAAATAAATAATAATAAGCCATATTTATTATATTCGATAGGTATCTAAAAATAAATACAATTTATTTTTCCACTCATATTAATATTTAAATAATTTAACTTAAATCAAAATTCTGAACATTTTCTAAATTTTCATTGTATAACAATTTTCCTTTAACAGATATTTCAAGCAAAGTAATTTAAGTAAAAAAATTTAACGTTTTCTGGAATCAAAAGATGGGAAATTGCTTCATGCAGTCATTCTTTAACAGTAAAGCTTAACTAATCGGCATATTCAGAACTTGCTGGATTGCCGAATATCTCAAAATTCCGGATAATCAAGCATAACTGATAAAAGAGGAAGGGGGTAGATTGTAGCCGTTCTTTAGATTTTTCAGCTAAATAATGCTTTTGACATTTCAATATGTGTATCATATAAAAAATAACCCAATAGAACTGAAAAATAATCTGCTTAGCAAGCACAGTAAAACTCTTATCTCTGCGAAATATGGCAAACGTTATTGCACAATACGTGCCCCTTAATTCTTCTGCATCTGATACAGTCAAAAGTCGTTAATCCGGACTCGTCGGGACTTCGGCGATTCCGGATTATCGATTTTTCCGGATTATAGATCATCAGTTTAAATCTCGTAAGATGGCATGCAGAAATTCTAAAATTAAAAATATGAAACCGTAATTTATGAAATAAAGAACAATTATGATCTAAAGGGTATATCAAATTTGCAAAAAGAAAAAGCTTAATATTTATTTGTTTACTTTATTAAACATTTCTTTCAATGTAAGTTGTTTAAGTTTTGCTTCGTTTCATGTGATAATACTTTCTCTTTAATTCTATTAAACAGACATAATTTCTTGTTCCGTTACAAAGTTATGCTGTTCAAGTCCTATAATTGCTGTGTCGAGAACACCGACTAATTTGTCAATCGAAATTCTTTCGTTTTCAATAACCTCTGTTACTTTCTTCGCTATCGAAAGCGAATTATAATGACGAGGAACTTGTTTTAAATCATATCAAAGACGGAGCATATCGAGATGAAATACTACATTTGGTAAGGAATTATAAGCCAAATAAAATAAAAACATCTGCGCTGAAGATAAAGATAGTGTTGACAGATCAACTTCCAATTCATTACGCGCCCGCCGCGCGGCGATCCCCCCGCCGAGCAGCGTGAAATTGATAAACAGATTTCGGATTTCAAAACATACTTTCGCTTTAGATCCTTTACATATTAACAAATATATATCGGAAATTCTATTTGATATAATCGAAAGTTTAAGCTTACTTTTATAAAATTGCTCTTACAGTCTGCAAAAAATAATAAGCCGGATCCAATTCGAAAATTAAGAACAACGCAATCATCAACATTAACTGAAATAGATAATTAGATAATTTTAGCTTATACGTCCATTATAATAAAACGCGCACGCGAAAATGTATTCTGCACTTGCGCAAACTCATATGCGCAGTCGTAAAGTGGCTTACGCGCACGCGTAAACGCCTATGCGCATGTGTCAACGTGGCGCATGCGCAGAAAGTTTTTAGTTTTGAAGTCCGGATTATAGATCATTCCGAATTATGGGTGTCCGAATTAACGACTTTTGACTGTATTACGCAATCGGAATCAACAGCTGCCGGTATTCAGAGAATAAATAACTGAATTAAGGAAAACACCCCTTTGCTTCATCCGGTTTTCACCATTATGCGCCCATGTGGCATATTTATCATTCAGCAGGACATGTCACACTCCGGACAATATCCCTGCCGTACTCATATTGATTAATAAAGAGATTTACCAATCTGGGGTGTTTTTCATTCTAATTTTGAACAGATTGCATTAAATTTCCAGAATAGAATCGTTCTTCACTTGGAATGGTAGACCACAGAACTTTTATTACTATTCAATCCAGGTTAAAAAGTGACAATAAAAAAAAAAAAAAAAAAAAAAGAGAGTCCGTTCCTTTCTTTGCTGTGGACTGTAATGGTTTAAATATTTGAGATTTTGGGAAGAAAGGGAAGAACCCCCAACTTTTGTACTGTATAATGCATCGGGAAAAAAAAATTTTTTTTTTGACTATTTGATTACTTTCACTTTGTTCATGCCATTCCGAATACTATTCCTTAGAAAACTAATCTGTGTTAAAACACACTTACCCATTTTTGAAGTTTACCTATACTTCAGCAGTTACTGCAAATATATTACTATAAATATTCATACATATGCTGATAATGTAAGCATACCGATCATAATAAATGTGAATATGAACTGACCATGTGGAACAAGAATGTAAATTATTAAAATCTTGATAGAAATTCAAACGTGTGTAATATTGGGTGGGAGTAAAAGAATACGGAATGTACCGGAATTTTCTACCGTTTTCGCAATTCTTTGACCAATAGAGTGGTGTGCACATGTCTGTACTCGCATGTTCGTACCAAAGGTTATGTTAATGCAGAGAAAGGGGCGAAGAGCTATTTCTGGGATATGATTCACCACCTGACGTTCCATATAAGGAAGAAAAGTTGTTAATTTAGTTTCGGCTTTGGTAGGGGAAAATGTGCATTTGTTAAAAAAAAAGCACTAAAAGCAAAAAAATAAGCACTAAAAACAAAAAAATAAGTGCTTTAGAGAAAAAGTAAGCACCTATAAGGGCTTTTATATTTTATTTTCAAATAAAAGGACTAATAAACACTTGTAAGGACCGATACGAACCCTGTTCGATTCTTGAGTTAAATAACCTACTTTGTTCTCATGTTAAAAGAACAACTTAAGAACACAACTGTAATTCAGATGACTTAATCTTTCTGTCACTATAGAATATTCTGAAATGTCTAGAAGAGCTATACAGTTTCAATACATTTTAGGATTTACATTTTCCTTTCCTATGAATGTTTATCAATACATGACAGCTTCAGTAATAACTCATGCAGTGATGTCTAAACTTTTTTTTTATATTAGTAATTGAATAACAAGAGTCTGGCAACATTTTATGCTAACATTACGCTTGACGATGATTATAGATTTTTAAATACTCTGAGAAATGTTGATGTGGAAAAATTCAACAAAAATTTCTTTTTATATGCTAAAAATAGATTTTGTTAATGAAACTCACAGGCTAAAAGATTACATTTAGTGCTATTTTAATTAAGAATAACTGATATGTTATTCACCATAAACCCTGAAGCGGCGGCAGAATATGTCAGCACCGGACGGCAGAATTTAAGGAAGACGAAATTTTTGGAAATTGGAGAAGCACTAAGATGCAAAATTAAGGGATGAGAATTTTTTTTATGATTTAGGGAAAGCACTGGGATGCAAAGTTTAGGTGCAGTGAAAATTTAGAACTCAGGAAAGCACTTTGTAGCAGAATTTAGGACCCTTAGAGAATGCACCATGCGGTATTTAGTGCCAGCCCTAGGTAAAGTGTTAAGTATATGTGAAAGTTTATTTATTCAGGACTCAGATTAGTTTTAAGCATGTGCAAGAAATAAACATAGGTATAGTAAATAACTAATACAATTCAGGCTTAATTCAATATGCAATAGGAGCAAGACAAAATTTGGCGAAACAACTTAGCTTTCATCACCAATCTTGTAATACATAGCCAATTATGTATCACGGACGCTATTAAGCTAGGCTAAAATTAGCGGACTGCGCTGCTCTTTAATCTTTTAGTTTGATCCAGCTTATAATCTTTTGCTGACTGTTATTATTACGGCAATTTTATAAAAACTAAGCTTGAACTTTCGATTATGTTGAAAAGAGTTTCCAATTCTGGAGCCGCCAAAGGATCTACAAAGCGAAACTATGTTTTGACGTCCATAAACAAAAAGTGAAATTGATAAAGGCATATCCGTCTCAAAATTATGAGAGGAGTATGGCATTGGAAAGTCAACTATTTATGACATAAAAAAGAAAAAGTAACATTTGCATTTTTTGTGGAAGCAACTTAAACAACTTACATTGAAAGAAATGTTTAATGAAGTAAACAAATAAATGTTGAGCTTTTTTTTTTTTTTTTTTTTTTTTTTTTTTTGTAAATTTTGATACCTTTTAGATCATAATTGTTCTTTATTTCATAAATTACGATTTCATATTTTTAATTGTATAATTTCTCCATGCCATCTTACCAGATTTAAACTGATGATCTGATGATCTAATATCCAGAAAAATCCCAAATCCGGAATCGTTGAAGTCCCGACGAGTCCAGATTTCGAACTTTGTACTGTATTTTAATTTTATGCCTTAATTATATGCAGTACATACTACAAACCCTCTCTATAAGGATTATGCCCTGTTATAGACGATTTTCATCTTCTCTGGAAGTTATTACCTTAGAGAGATACTGTTTAATATTGGATTTTTTTAATATTCTTGGAAATGCTAGTCTGTTTCAGAATAGATTACCATAAGAAGGTGGTCAACATGAAAGGTTTCACAATACATATATATACATATGATATATATGAATAAAGTGTAAAACATAATAATTAATTAATGGATTGAAAATAGTTTCATCAGCCAGTTATCAAAATTAGTTCCAAAAAGGAAAACATCTTTTTGAAACTGAATGCAATTTTATATACAAACACTATTACAACTAACAATCTAGCTAATGTTTTAATTGTTTGATCTCTATAAGTTTCAGATTAAGCTTTACTTACATCAATTGTCATAGGAATATTTTGCTTCTTTACATTATGATTATGCTGATCAACATTCAGCATGATGATGGCATATGCAAGAGTGAAAGCTGCATCATTATTGGCAAAAGGCTGATTGTTACTGTTCTATAAAAAGATTAAATAATAATTATAAATCATGACAATATTGACTCCAATGACAAAAGAATGAATGACACAAAAGTAATTTACATATTTAAAACTAATACACACTTTTGTTTTTAAATAGTCAAATTTTCCTTAATCCTTTGATAAGTGAAGCCAGAAATTAAATACAGAAAACTATATGGTAATAAAATTAGCAAGAACCTTGAAAAATTAAACATTTTCTAGTGAACTTAACTCAGATATTACAGTTTTTTACTGGATGTGATGACCATTATACCACATGGAAGAACTATCTTTTGTCCCTACATTTCTCATTACTTACTAATGACTGGAGCAGAACAAGTGATATTCAAATCTATCTGATGAGTATCACATTCCCCCAGCCAGCTGACAGTATTAAGTTTCACCAAATTTTAATTTGAATAACCAGTGTCATTAAGTTTCAAAATTCTGAAAAAATTTCTGGTGTTTACACTAAAAATTAAACATGAATGTCAGCTAAATTTGCTGATCTTATGCATCACAGCAACAGATATGAATTTTTATAATGCCTTATAATATTATCTGTAAATGACAAAACATTCATGAAATTTGAAAGTTTTATAATTATTTGTCAGAATCTGACAATTTCTGACAATCTGATAATTTTTGACCAATTATATTTTGTTTTCTGTGGAGACCAATTTAAAAGAAAAATATATGACGGTAGGCTCTCTCTCTTTTACTTTAAAGAGCAGCTAGTGTTTAATGTATAGGATTACTAATGAAAGTGTGAGGATGTTATAAAACAGATGAAACAAACAAAAAAATTTACTCACAAATATATTTTATTTTGAATATGGCCCTATGTAAAATTGGTAGATGATATGAAAAATAAGACCCATAATTTAAGATGCCTGCAGTTATATTCCTAGCAAATGTTAAATCAATAAATGAACTGTCAAGTGTACTTGGAGAATTACTTGGCATCATGCTGATATTAAAATCATGCTTCACAAAATCAAATGCCTTTTTATTTTGTTTGACATCTACATTGAAATCTCCCATCATAATAGGAACATCAATCAATAAAAAAGTTTCAGAATATTTCATTAATGCAGTACATGAAAATATCATCAAATCTCCTAATTTTAACAGTTGGATGAATATATACAGATATTAAAATAAATCTTGACTGTCCGTTAACAATTACATCAACCGTACAAATATCACCTGCTTCTGAATCGCATATTCTCTCATGCTGCTTAACAATAAACTCTGTTGGTACACAATCTACTACACTCATCAAATTTGTATAAATTGCAACACCATTAGCTTGGCAAAATAAAGTAAAATACAGCAAACACCACCCGAACACAGTAACCATCTACCAGACAACCTTGCTACTCACACGTGGTCTGGTCGTGCATGCACACGGACCTCACCAACATTTCACATTTTCTGATGTATTACTATGCATATACCCTTTGTCCAACTTATTTTTTTCCTGTTTGCTAATGTGCTCTTTCATCTATCTAATGATGTATTTAGATTGATTGCAATATGTGTAATTTTGAAGATATAAAACATACGCACACACCACCAAATAGAGTCTTAATTTTTTTCTTTCCCATCAGACCATTATTTAATTCTACATTAAAAATCTATACAAACATGCTATAAATCTGAGTTACAAAAGGTCATTCAACATGCAGCCTATATAATTGCTTATAAATATCAAAGAAAAACTGAGGAAAATATTAAAAAGATATGTTTTGTACTATCAGGGAAAAAGCAATAATTTAACATACATCATATTTTCAATACTAAAAAATCTGTAGCAAAACTTTATTCCTTCACTCACTTTCAACATATAATGTGCACATATAAAATGTGTGCCAGCGCTATTTGCTACTCTGCATTTACATTTCCATATTTAAAATTAAAGCAGTGTAAATATTAAATAGTTTTACAGCAACATACATGCCAGTGTTCAGCAAAATGTTCCATTATTAAAGATATCAAGGGAGCTTCGCCTGGCAGACGAAAAGTTTCCAAATACTGTCTTAAAGCTTCATCAATCCTTGTACCTTCAAATGCAAAAGACCTGGCAAGAAAATATATATATATTAAATACTAAAATACAAAAGTACAGTTTAGATTTTTCTCAAATGGCACATTTTATAAAGCATCTAAACTTTTCAATGAGCCATATATTTCAATGATCCATATATCCATTTGAACCATATACATATTTTACAAAATTATACAGGCAACTCACAATGTAACAACTTACCTGGGACTGATGAAGAAAGATGCAATATCAAACAGTTGTTGTATGGATGCTACTCAAAAGTAATCAAATTATTTATGACTATTTTATTTCATTTAAAACTTTAATAAATAATCCTTCCCTCTTGTTTATTTACTTTTTTTAATTGGTATTAATATTCTATTTTACAACATACAATGTTGGAAATTGGTTAAGCATTATCATAATAAATTGCTAGTTGCCTAGAGGAAAGCTGGTGTGCTTACTGCCTCCAGGAAAAAAGGAAGACAAATATATTTTGATTTAGTAAAGTATTTAAGAATTGCAATGTTGGCTAAACATAAATGCTAATATCAAGTGACATGTAAATGCAAGCTGACATCATGTGAGAAATAAGATTAATATATTTCAACAATTTTATTATGCAAAACATTATTCACATAATGTACTAGCATATATTACTATATAATACGAGCTATAAAAATGAACTGACTATAAGAAAACAAATTTTGATTTAAAGGACACAAACCTTACAAAAGCTTCTAATACTTTCAGATTTTTTCTATTGCTGATATATTCACCAATCATTTTCTTATCTAACTGAGGATTGTCACGGAGAAATATTGCAACTTCTTGAGGATCTAAAGTATCTTTTAAGAGTCCATGTTCTTGCAGAAAAGAGATGCCTTTGCTAGGTTGGGAATTAAATTGTTCTGTGCCAGTTATGAGTATCTAAAAAGAATCAAGTATTTTAAATTATAGCTTAGTGACTATGACAGTAAATGTAGTTAAATATTTAAAAAAATTGAAAACTCAACATATGAAAGAAAACTAGTAATTGAAATAAATTAATTGAAGATTATATAACAGTTTTTGCATATTAATCACCACTGCTTACTTTGTTCTTTATATTAGTAATAAATACAGACAGGAAAATTCATTTAAGAAGTCTTCCTTCTAAAAAGGTCCCTACGAAATCAGCCCTTTAAAGTGGCAAGAAAGGCCACTAAGTATTAATCTATTTTCTTCCAATATGCTTTCAGAATTTAGAATGTGAAAAACAGGATCACTTAGAAAAGGAAAAAATGACTACTAGTGCACATTTCTTATTTATTTTAAAAGAGTAAATCTACTTCTAAGAAATCTGGGACTGCATTTCTGAGATAATAGAAGATGCTTTTTCACTAAGAATTTCCTTCCATTTGGGAACTGTCAGAAAAAAAATTGCTGCCAGAAAAGCATTAAAAAGGAAAGTTTTGACTATTCAGCAAAAATGCACAATTTTAATGGATGGAAATTCCCATTCTCCTGGAATGAAAATTATAAATATATTTAGTAGTGAGTGCATTGGATTATAAGTAAACAAGACTGTTTGCAGTGCAATATCATTAATAATAAATAAATTGCAAAAAATTAGAATGTGAAGAGATCAAATAAAAACTGCTCATGAGGTTTGAGCATAATTTTAGCAACTTATTTGAAATTAAATAAATTTATTTTATTTTTAAACTGAATATAAATAATTCATATTGCTTTATTTTCATTTAAATTAGTTTATTGAAACTTAATTCTTTAAAATTCATTTAAAAACACTATATATGACAAAATTTCCTCTTTTTTTTTTAATTTTGAATTTTTTTGTAATCTGTCATCAGTTAAAACATTCATTAATTACTTTTGTAATATATATATATATATATAACAAATTCTGTAAATATCTTAATGATTGGGTGATAGCTGTATGAGGACAACTGCACAGTCTGAATGATGCACAACAAAGGACAGACTAGTTGAGAGATGTGGCTGTACATACAACAATGATATTTATAGACAGATGTGGCCAAAGACAAGGCATTATTTATTGTTGTACATTTTTTAGATAAACAAATCGATTACATATGTAGCGTGTCGATTACATGTGTAGCGTGTATGTGAGCCAGTTTCCCTTAGAGGGTCCTCCACGAAGTCATCCCTCCTCTTAGGCAAATAGCCTTAATGTGTTTTGCCATAACCAACTAAACCTAATACATATCATTGTGGGGGTGATATGCATCCCACATGCACACATATAACATCCTTTGGAATTTACATCTTTAGACAATAGAAGAAGCAGCGAGGCAAATAATGCATCTTACCAACAGCAGAGGCAAAGCAAAAAGGGACAAAGTAAATATGCACTCAGCAAAGCATTCAGATACACACTCAAATAACTCAAAACTTTAAGTTAACTGGTGATAAAATATTCACAACGCATTACATAAGATGATGAAAGGTAAAATTTTGAAAATATGTATTCCAGATGTTATTATAAACAATTGCTACTTTTAAGGTTTGAGGTTTAGTTGGTTATGGCAAAACACATTAAGGCTATTTGCCTAAGAGGAGGGATGACTTCGTGGAGGACCCTCTAAGGGAAACTGGCTCACATACACGCTACACATGTAGAAACACACACACACACACACACCACACAAAAAAAAAAAAAAAAAAAAAAAAAAACACCCATGCAGCCAGCTCTTTCCAGGTCATAATCATCAGTGTTCAGTGATTTTAGTGCTTGGCTGCTGGTTGGCCATCGCTACTTTTAGCACAGAAAGTGGAGATGCACAAGTTAAAATATAGAATTACAAGATTATTACCAATTTAAGCTATAATTTTGATTTACATATATTTCTGCCAAAAAAGGTTGAGCAAGAGAGAAAAATTTAAAAAAAAAAAAAGCATTAGAGCATTAGCAAATGAGAGAAATATAATTTTTGGAAAAATCATAAAATTTTAATCTAAATTTTGAATATGACATTTCTGACAATAAACATATGTTCTAGAGTCCTCTTCAAACTTTCAGTCCAATTTTAAAAAATTGTAAATTTCTTTTCCCTCAAAATTAACAAAATTTGCCCTAAATTGTTTGCACATAAAATAGTTAGCACATAAAAACTCATAACCTGTTAACATATTAAAAACACACACAATTTTAGAGTTTTGAATTAATACTAAATTTATATGAACACACAAGTTAATTCGAATCCATCTTTGCCTTCAGCCTTTAAAGACATTATGTTTTAGTTCTGGTTTCATCAACAGATGACGCCAGTGGCTTATCTCCTGTCCAGGCTTTCTTATCTTATCTAATCAGTCTATCTTATCTCGTTCATTTGTACTTTTGCTGCTGAGGATGATGGTTCGGTAAAACCATCGAAACTAGTCCCGTGAAAATTTGAAAATATAATGCTGATTTTTGTTGTGTTACTTCTAAATTAACACAAGTTTAAGTTAATATGAATGCACATTATCAATAAAATCTGTCATTTAACTAATAAGACATCATCATAAAATTCTAATTACATTATTATTTTAATAATATTAAATCTGAATGTAAAGACAGTTTACATATCAGTCATAAAAATCTTCTGAATCATGCAATGACAAATTATGTGAAAATTTCTGAGTATTTAGTTTCAATAGCTAGTGTATCACTGATATTCTTAGCATTGCATAAACCCAACATTTAGAAATTTTTAGTGAATTCAATTACATTTTATGCTAGAAAGAATATTTATAAGTTGATCAAAAACATACCTTCTTTTTATGTTTTACTGCCATTAACATTTCATGGCTAGGAATTTCTACTGATATTTTCATCCTATTTGGTAGTATAAATGGTTTTTGCTTTTCATAATCATTTACAATGGGATAGGGTTTTTCTTCACCATGGTTAGATATCAATTCTTGTCCTAATAAATAACCAGAAGCTCCTTGCTGAAGTACACCACGCTTGGATAAATCCACATTACCATTTTCTGTAAACAACAGTTAACAGTTATCATAAGTTTGATCAAAACAAAAACTTTGAAACATTTACCATCAAGATAATTTACTATCATATCAAAATTATATACAAGGTTGCCACTCAAATAGGAGAATAATAAATAAATAATGAAATTCCCTGACTGTTCCAGCAATATTTTAAGAAAATTCCAGTCTATCCGCGTAGTGCACATTAGCTGTGCTTCACCATTTGAAAACACAAAAATTTGCCAATTACATATGACTTTGTATATACATATACATATACAGTAAGACCCCGCTTAACGCTGTTTCGGTTTAGCGCTCTTTTATTTCAACCCGGGGATTCCACGAAATCGCTCGCAGCATACGGGGATTCCCCGAAATATTATGCAGTGATAGGTTTCAAATACATATCCGAAAGAGTGTACTTGTATTTCTTGTTTGGTGCGGTATTGTACAGACATATTTTGAAGGGGTAAATGTGGAAGATGTCGAAGAAATAATTCAAGAAGCAGCGGCTAGTCTTTCTAATGATGAGCTCAAGGAATTAACTGAACAAGAAGAAAACAAAAATGTTGACAGCAGTGATTCAGAAGAAGAGCAAAAAGAACTTTTGATGGCGTTTGTAAAAAGGAGTTTGTTTACCATAACTGAAATAATGGATCAATTCACTGAAAATGATCCGAATTTTGACAGGAGCTCAAAAGTAAGGCGTGGTGTTAGAGATGCTCTATCCGTTTACGAAGAACTTTTAAGAGAACAATGCAAAAGAAAAAGGCAAACAACATTAGATGCTTTTGTCACAAAAAGGCAGAACACTGAAAATGCGGAAGGCTAACTAAATATGACTGAGAATTTTATTTGTTTTTTTTTTAAGAATATTCGTTTCGTTATTTATATTTTGTTTTTATTTTTGCAAGAAATAATAATGTGGTATTAATTTGGGCTTTAAAAAATAAATGTTTGGTTTTATTTTTATTAAAAAAACATACTTTTTAAATTTAATACCTAACCAATTTCCTAGCCATCTTCCCCTAACCCCAATATTTACATGTAAAGATAGCCTCGTTTAGCGCTGTTTCGCATTACGCTCTACTTTGATGGAACATATCCCCCGTGTTAAGCAGGGTCTTACTGTATATATACCCCAAAGCATTACTATTGTAACTATAATAGGAGTTGTTTTTTCCACTGAAGCTTGAGATTAGAATCTGCCCAACCTGGATTAAAAATTGTCTCTTTTTTAGACATTTTGCCAGCTAAACGAAAGAAAGAATGCTATTTTAATCTAATATCCATCTTTAACTAATATTATGATTTAATGATATTTTAAAATAAATTTAGCAGCATATATAAGCAAAAAATATGTGGAAAAAATTTCGTGATGGTCATACAGTTAGAATTAGTTTCAGAAGCATGCCAAAGAAAATTGCCTGAAATCTGAAAGAATTATTAACTAATAACAAATAAATTTTGAAGGAAGAAACCACATTAAATGATACAAATAACATTAAAATAAAGTTAATAACTTAAAGACTAAAAATTGAATTACAATAATCAATGGTATTTTGGTGAATATAATTATATTAAATAGCTTAGATGACTGGGTACTACTTTTTTTTTTTTTTTTACTGCAAAATGACAAATAAGATATTTAATAAAAAGAAGAAAAAAAAATGTTTAAAAGATTTTGTGGTAAAATCCTAGTATAAGGTACAGCCTTGACATGATTTTGAAAATTTTCACCAACATCAAAATGACTCATTTACTGCTCATCATTATATAATAATGTCCCCAAACCCCGTGTGTACCATATACAGGATTAAACCAATTTTGTTTTATACGAGAACGGGAAGGTATTTTCTTTCATTCAAAATGCAGTGTATATGCACATGCGAGTCTCTCAATTCTCCAGATTACTGGAAACCAAAGTTGCTAGAAGCTTGCTTTGCTTTTCTCAAAGACAATCTAACTGGAGCTGTGAAAACTCCCCAACTTTTCCAGATTTAAACTAAAATATTTAAATTCCCTGATGTTTTTGGTCAATTTTCGAATTCTCTGACTTTTCCAGGTAGCTAGGCAACCCTGTACACATTGATCTAAAAGTACATTGCATTGACTTTTAGGTAATGGTTTAACTTTTGAACAAAACATATTATACTTTATTTGATTTTAAAACACAATTATTTTAATTTCAAAATAAACTTAAAAAATATTTTTTACCTCTCTACATATAAACAAACTCAGCATTTTCTAAGATATTGAAAATAAGCAAAATCATAATTTGGAAGGAATTTCAAATAACATGCCCAAAACATTTGTGGTAAAATAAAAAATACTTGGTTAAGTAAGTAATCACTCAGTAATCTTTTCAATTGTAAACCTTGTATTATTTTCCACTAAAGTAAGCATGTGGTCATTATTTTTACCAGAACCCTACTCAAAGTGGAGTTACCATTTAAATTAAAATTTCCATTTCAGAATCTTCCAAACTAATTTTTTTTAATTAAGAGCAGAAGCATATTTCAAATATGTTTCATATGCTTTTCATTATAGTCCCATGACTCATTCCTTTCCAAAACTTGCATATCATATCATGGCACAAATGTAACTTTATTTTCTATTTTGACAATATCCTTTCATTCACAAACTGACATCTCTGAATTAGGTTTCCCTCTTAAATGACCCATCATATTCCTGTTAACCACTAGTATAAAATGTAGCCATAAAAGAAACTCTACTGTTGCCTTATTATATTAAAATTCTACCATCTGCAAATCAAACATGAAATTGTACAATCATCCAATACAAAGAAACAGCACATCTATCTTATACAGTCAAAAGTAGTTAATTCGGACACCCATAATCCGGAATGATTTATAATCCAGACCTCAAAGCTACAAACTTTCTGCGCATACGTCGTTTTGACGCAACACCTTTACGGCTGCGAATATGCTTGTGCATGTGTGCAAAATACGTTTACGAGTGCGTGTTTAATGTATAACGAACGGTATAAGTTAAGCTAAAATTATCTAATTATCTATTTCAGTTAATGTCGCAGATTGCGTTGTTCCTTAATCTTCGAATTGGATCCGGCTTATTATTTTTGCAGACTGTTAGAGCAATTTTATAAAAGTAAGCTTGAACTTTCGATTATGTCAAATAGAACTTCTAATATATATTTATTAATATGTAAAGGATCTACAAAGCAAAAGTATGTTTCGAAGTTCATTAAACAAAAAGTGGAATTGCTGCAAAAAATGGATAAAGGCATATCCTTTGTTTATCTAAACTTTGTTTATCTTTAATGCCGGGGGCGCGCAATGAATTGGAAGTTGATCTGTCAGCACTATCCTTATCTTCAGGGCAGATGTTTTTATTTTATTTGGCTTATAATTCCTTACTAAATGTAGTATTTCATCTCGATGTACTCCGTCTTCTTTGATATGATTTAAATCCAAGTCCTCGTCATTATAATTCGCTTCTGATAGTGAAGAAAGTGACAGAGGTTATTGAAAACGAAAAAATATTGATTGACAAATTAGGCGGTAGACACAGCAATTATAGGACTTGAACAGCGGAACTTTGTAACTGAACAAGACATTATGTCTGTTTATAGAATTAAAGAGAATGTGTTATCACATAAAAAACGAAGCAACTTAAACAACTTACATTGAAAGAAATGTTTAATAAAGTAAACAAATAATATTAAGCTTTTTTTTTTTTTTTTTTTTTTTTTTTTTTTTTTTTTTTTATTGTAAATTTTGATACCCTTTAGATCATAATTGTTCTTTATTTCATAAATTACGGTTTCATATTTTTAATTTTATAATTTCTGCATGCCATCTTACCAGATTTAAACTGATGATTTATAATCCGGAAAAATCGATAATCCGGAATCGCCGAGTCCGGATTAACGACTTTTGACTGTACTAGATTTTTACATTGTATTCCTTTCTTACTTCTAGCAAATTTATTACCCATATAGTAACTTTTCGCATCTGAAAAAATTTCATTAGACCATCAGAAATATATATGTTAATAATGATGAAAAATATCTTGGATTAATAACAAATAAATCAGCATACAAATATACTAGATTAGAATTATATACTGCCTGACAACTGCTAAGGCACAGAGTCCTTTTACATCATAATTAATGACAGTTGTAATTAAAAAAAACAAGACATAGCGCATATTTTATAGAGGCCCTGAAGTATTGTAATAAAGCAAAACAAATTGCCAAAAAATGGCAAAATATATTGTCAAAAAAAGATTAGCAAAAGGAAAAAAAGATGCCCTTTACAGCTATTTTCAACAATTATGAAACATGGGATCAGAAAGCAATGTTATGCATTTTACTCCAGTTATAGTACCTTCAAAATGGAAACACCCATTTTCAAAATGGAAGTCCCCTGGGAAATAAAACTACACCACACATTTACACTAAGAAAATCCAAAGCCTTTTCAGCAGTAATTCACAGCCTTTTCAGCATTAATTATCTTCAACCCAATACATACAGTTATGTCTATTGATAGTTTCATTAAGCTCAAACATACATAAGCCATGTCAATGTTACTCCCTTGACACTAATTAGGTTGTGCAGCTAGATCAGAGACTCTACTGCTACCTGCTAGGAAACAAAACTTTTTCTTTAAAATTTAACCCTGCAGGTAGAAAAATAACTTTTCTACGACAGTTCAAAGTGTATATGCATTTTTCTGATGCATCCTGTATTAGCTAAACATAGTGTATTATGCGGTCTACAGCTCCAAGACACAGCACTTATGGGCTAAAAAGTTGGTCCACTGATTCAGAACAACAGACACTTCTGCCAAAATTAACTGGACTATATATAAGGGTCAGTAACTCTGTTCTGTTTATGTACATTAACCAGATCTTTTAAATATGCCTTAATTTGACTTTTGAGTTTATTTATAATCAGTTCCATATTTTTAAATTTCAAATACTGCATATGTCATTAGAAAACTTTAAAATTTTTAAAAACATTGAATATGTAAATAACATTTTAATAATTTGTAAATAAGTTTAGTAATATGGATCAGTTTAAAACTGTTTTAATTCAGAATAAATTACATCAAATAAAGTTGGTATGCATCATATAAATCCTAATTCTTGCCTGTAATTAATTTTTTTTTTGTATATATTTGAATATATAGCAAAGGAAAAAAACCTATCATAGTTGAAATAAAAATAGATACTACCTGAAATTGCTGATGACACTATACTGTCTTGAAGAAACTGACTTTGATTTAACATCCGACACTGGCAATGGTTTTCTATGTTCTCAATGACAGCTAAAAGTGCTTCCAAAGATAAAAGATGAACAGAATACAATCCAGAAAGTGGGTATGCATTCTAAAAAATAACAATATCTGTTTGAACAGATATAAAACAATAATCACATGCTATTTTAACAGATATACAATATTAAAATTAAAAATGATGCAATTGGTTAAAATTATGTTTGTGAAAATCATGTTTATACTAGTGTTATTAACCCTTTAAATGGCTAAATTATATAAATACATTCAACTTTTAAGCACACAGACATGCATCTTGAAATGTGTTTGACAATTAAGTAGCATATACATTCAATGTTAAAAGATTCAGGGTACAAACTGGGACAGTCCATTTGGAATTGTAATCCAGAAAATACTGATTACTTATACACTAAAAGCAAGAAAAAAGATTTAGGTGGCCTTTTGGGAAACTTTCGAAGTTTGGGAATAAACACTTTACCACTTGGAGGTTAACAAAATACAGTTCAAAGCCAAAATCTTGATGCTGAATAACTAGAATGATCCATAATCTGAACCTTCCACAGAAGGAATAGGAACAAAGAGTACGATACTTAAGCAAAAGCAGTGTGTCACAAATTGAATTTTCTCCCAGTTGAAATTTCTTCTGCCAAGAAACATCATTATCCACAGAAGTATAGAATTATACAGCATGATGTTTAGCCTTTCATCCTTTGTGCAGCACGACCGGCTTTAATTGGTCATAAGATTTTTTGTCATTTGGTATATATTATCTGTCATTTGGTACATCTTATAATTTAAGATGTTTTGCTTTCTTACTTCCTTTAATAAATGTCACCTTAATGAAAGTAAGTTTATGAGAATAGAGACTAAAATAAGTAATTATACAAATTTAGCTAATAAATGTTGTTTAAATACTCCTAGTCTTCTTGGCAAATACAAAAACCTGCACCGTTCAGAGAGTTAAACACCTGCCGAATGGTAAACCTATAGAGGAAGGAAGACTCTATTCCTACCATTATAATTGAAACACACTTTCATTTTTGAGCCTTGAGTAGATGTGGGGCGGGAAGCATCTTTCTATCCTATCTAGCCTTCACACAATAACTGAAGCCCAATGACTCATGTTTGCCTAAAGCAGAAGATTACACATGGGTTTCTTTTGTTCGCACAACAGGAAAGAAAGAAGAGAGAATTGCACTTAAGCTTAGCTAGTGTTGTACATTGCGTTCCTTAACATTCTGGTTTGATTCAGCTTGTTATTTATTTTCTCTAGTCTATTATTACTATTATCTTACCAAAATTAAAGGATCAGTAAAACATAATGTCTTCGATTACTGGTATTTAGAGTAAAGTCTATGCATCAACAAAAAAACTTTGAATGCAAGTATAATAATTTCGGCATCCCTGCTTGAATACCACTGTCAATCTTTCAAAAATGGTTTATACTACTGAAAGGAGTCATCAATCGGTTGTGATACCTTGAATTTTTCTGGGAATATAGCTTACTGTGATGCCACTGTAAAGGCAAATGTTCGATTATCAGACATGCAGACAACCAAAATCTTTGCTCTTCTGTCAGCAATTCATTTAAAAATGATGTCATCTAGCTAAGAAAAATGCCTTTAAATCTATTATTAAATGAAGTGTTATGAGTATTAAATAAACTGTCAGTAAGGGTGGAGCACATGCAGACACAACAGTCAGAAAATGTTTATTTAGTTCACATGAGTATATTAAATTTGTCCGTTACAATACAGAACATACTGAATTTCTAAACAGTCACAACTATGTCCGGTCATTACCAAGTGTGCACGTGTACCAATCTTCACCCAGATTGATGATTCAGCAGTAAGTTCGGCTGGTCATTTAACTGGGGCTTATTTTGACTCATAATTATAAGGACTTATATTATAAGCATGCTCAAAAATCATATAAGGCTTATTCTCTAATTAGGTTTTATTTATAGGTAACATAGTCATAAGTAAAAAAAGAATTTCTTAACCATTTTAAATAAACTGGGATAATTAATTAGCTACATCCATCTTCCACTATGCAACTAGAGATATTTTTCTTTCTAAAAACGGATCAAAAAGGCATAATGAATAAATCTTGAATAAAAATTAATTTCTCACCTTAGTTGCCCCTCCTGAGTATTTTAAATACAATCTATTTTTGCAAAACAATCGCAAAAAGATTTATGAATCACTGTTTTAACACAATTGGAATTTTTTTATTATATTTTGATATTTTAATTTTGCCCATGTGTTAGTTAAAATTTACTAGCTATCTACTTGCTACATGTTTTTAGTTAAAATTTACTAGCTATCTACTTGCATCAACTAAATCTTTGTAGACAAATGAACTTTTAATAACATACTGATGAATTTTCATCTTCACAACTAAACAGGTACTTACTATAACTCAAAAACATAAATGGAAGTTAAAACTTATTAAAACTGCATATAGTATGACTTATAAGTCCACAATTACTATCTGCTACTAACTGGGAAGTTCCAGGAACTCAAGTAATTAAAGCAGTAAAACGCACAAGCTAACTTCCACTGAGCAGCTTGGCTCCAGCAAATAGTAGTCTAACCTTAACACTTAGCAGATAAAAAACTCACTCATCAATCTACATGAAGCTCTTTCAAGCTGAATTACAGGGTGGTTGCCATAGCATGCTCTCTAAATTACAGCTTGCATTTTTAAAAAAATTAACAGACAAAATAGAAGGGACAGATACAGTTAACATACAAACAATACATTAGACTAAAATAAACCTTATAAATGATTATTTACATTTTCATTGTAAGAATTTTGACAAAAAACTTTTTTCCCATTAATGAGAGTGAAATATTCTTATCAATTTCAATTAACTTTAAACTTTATCAAAAAATATATCTTGAATCTAGAGTAGTTGCTACAGAAAATATGTTCATTTAATTCCTTAGGAGCATGTATGTTTTCTTTAAATATGTCTTGCAAAGCTAAAACACCAAATAATTCAACATTACTGCCAATGCAATGACAACTGAAAATTAGTGATTTTGATGAAGCTACTTCTTTGTTATTGTACTGAATGTTCCACATAAACATTCAAACTTTCATATCCAAAACCTGGAGAGTCAAATGTCCAGCTTAAAACTAAGCAGAATAATTGCATATAGTATCAGACCAATTTGACATCCATAGCACTGGTAGTTATTACAAAATCCTTAATAAGCATAATTTTTGTTTATAAAAAAGTGTAAGTTTATAATGGTATGAGGAAGTTTAAATATTACTGTTAAAAGTTAATAATGCTTAATCAAATTACTTACTTTCGATAGCATTTTAGTGAGCTCTTCAAAAAGATTTGAACAATAAAGGTCACAATCATAATTGATATAAAGTTCAGTTACAAGGCCTGGTATTCTCCAGAGCTGAGCAATGCAGTCCAATGAAATTTCTCTTTGCTCATACGATATTCTAACAGTTTCGGATACAATCATTTCCATCAAAGTTTTCAAAAACATCTGCAAAAAATTTAAAACTTTTCACTTTCTGATTTTATTTATACTGTTAGCTTTTCTAATACCTGTAACCCTGAAAGAAATGACAGCCTTTATTCAGTCATGAGATTTGTCATATGGTATATATTATCTTACTTTTTAAAATATTTCTTTTCTTATTTTCTTCTATGATCTAAATATTAACAAATTAAAGTTTTTTAAACAGAGTAAATAAATCAATTTACAATTTAGCAAAAGAATGCTATTTAAGTACTGTTCTCCATAACAAGATCCAAAAGGCTGTGCTACTCAGATGCCTAAATCAATAATTTTTCATGTATTATTGATATTCTTAAAATTACTATTTTGTTCAATATTATAATTACAGCAATAATTTATCACAGTATAAATTTCTATGAATTTTAGATGATTTTCTAAGATTTCTCAAATGCTGAGTAAATTTGTGAATTTCAGATTTTCCCTCATTACTTTTTATTACCACTATTACATTATTTTCATATTTAAAGAATACAAGAAAGTTTTAATGACATATGATTCTTTACAGAAATCTGAAAACATGTCACTAAATGAAGAAAATCTCAATACATATTATGTAATATATGACCAACCCATCCAATTAAAAACAAACTTGATCTCATAAACAATGCAGAGCATTAACCAGACTTTGACCAATTTAGAAATGCAAGTTTTAATTTTAAATAAAAATGAATAATATAATGCTTATTCAATTATACTAGTTATTTGTATTACAGTTTTATATCTGGCAGCTTCCTTTTTTACTTCCTTGTACGAAGTAAAAAGGAAGTATTGTAATCGCAAAAAGTTTCAGGTAGTATATTTCAATGAAAATATCCATTTTGACCACTATTGAATGTAATTTAACGATGTTTTTTCGTAGTATCTGTACGTAAGGACACAATAAAAGACTCGTTTCCTTCAAAAAAATTATAAAACTGTTTTAAAATTAATTCTGAAGAGAATTTTTCGTGGCGTATGTACATACGTATCTCGCATAACTCAAAAACGAGTAGCCTCAGAACGTTGAAATTTTGTATATAGGACTGCTATAACGTGTAGATGTGCACCTCGTATTTTGGTTGCAATCGGCCGCACCAAATGTATATAAATATATTTATATATATATCCACTCTGTTACGCAGCTCAGTGATCTCAGTTTCTTTACTCTTATATGTTTGTAAAATTGTACATTTTTTGCTTTAAAAATGATTGAATTATGTTGTTTTTATCTTCCGGTTTTTATGCCTTTGGTAAATCTATTGTGCAATATTTTTAGAATTATCAACAATTTTAAAGTTGTTTAAGTGCCGCTAAGCCTTTTTTTGATGGCGGCCATTGATTGCTTACATTTGAAACAGCAGACTAGTGGATTTGTTGCCAATCTAGAGAAACTTAGCTTCACAACAACAAAGATAACGCCTTCATTTATTATTGAAAATTAAATCATGCTTAATCCTTTCTGGAATTTTTTCGAGGAAATAAGTGTTTAAGATTTACTTCGTAATTTTTAATATAGATATTTTGAGTTTTTATGTATTTTTGCCTTTTCGCGAAGTGAGAACTGAATTAATTGAATGAGAAATGCTCAATCGTCTGTGAAAAACTGTTTCTTTTTTGTTTTGTTTGCTTAATTTCTTTTATACATCATTCTAGCTTTATTATAGTATTTGAATAGAACATGTGGCAACAATTAGATAATTCTATTCTTTAAATGATATAAATTTTGTGCATTATGAGTTATAATATGAACGAAATATAATACTCTTAAGTGAATCTAGTGCCAGAGTGTTGCTATGGTAAACAAATACTACGTGAATTTTAAAGAATGCATTTATTCTATTGTGGTTTATGCGCTGTCGGCGAAGTAGATTTAATTCAATCCAATAAGTTTAAATGAAATGCAAGAAAAAATGCATATAATTTAATATTCCGTACAAGGAAGTCATGTGGTGTATACATCAGATTTTTTATTTTAATGCTAATACAAATATTCAGCAGCAAAATTTTCATAGATTTGTCAGACTAAACTCCAAGTTGTGAAATTTCTCTCATTTAACCAGCACTTTCTCTGCGGTAAAATTATGATCGTAATTGCAATATATAAAAGATAATTTAACTAGAAACAAAAACAAAGGCTTGCAAAAGTTAAAATAAATTATGAAATGGATATGCATATCTGTAAAAAATTAATAATATAGCCATACAAGTCACTGTTTCTGCAGTTGTGGTTAGATGTGCTGGAGAAGGAAGGGGTTATGTTTCTAAATATTACATGCCAAGTGATAACATTCTTTAATATAAATGAAATACAGCTGTTCTAGTATTTCCAATACTGTAATCTTTCCACAGAAAACACTACTATAAGTCTCTCCACTCTTTTTTCAGAATGATGTAGCCAAACTATGAAAAGGAAGAAACTTGTCAAAGTGGAATATTAGGTTCATTCTCAGTTTACAAATAACACTGCTTTAAGTGTTTTTTTTTTTTTTTATTTATTTATTATTTTTTTTTTTAATTTTATGTTTGATGGTTATAATTATATTGGTAGGAGATGGAGTCAGGAAATAATTGACTTTTCTTTGTTTCATGCTTTTCATTCTTGATTAAAATTTCATTCTAACCTGTTCTAGCATTCTCTCTATTTTCATTAGTACCATTTTAACACATTATTCTTTTCATTGCTGGGGTGAAAAAAGAATGTTTTTTATTTTTACCAATCTTGGAAATAATACATTATACTTGTACAGTACATAAAGTACATTTTTTCTTTTTCTCGCGAATCAATGTTAATGTCAAAAACGTTTGCTTTTATATTCCTAAGAGAATATATAATAACATAATATAGGTACTTATATATTAATGCAACCATCTTAGAAGTCGTTGAATTTTCAGAATATGCCAAACTCAGGTATCCATGCACAACATTCTTCTAGCAACCATGCTCATAACAATCCTTTCAGTCAAGCAATGCTGCCATTTTCGTATGTGTTCTTTTCTGTTGTACTCCAAGTTCCAATGGTTTTTATAAACAAATCATGATATTTTTGGCCTTGAACTTAGTTCTAAAATATGAGCTTGTGGAATTTGCCAGCAATGGAAGAAACTGTGGTAAAATTTCTGTAGAAATACAGAATTTTGAGGAAATTTTTCTAAAGGGAACAACAAGGAAATAAAATTTTCTAGATAGCCCCCATTGCTGAGGATTGCATGAAAGCGAGTCTCCACAATTCCCCAATTTTTTTTTTTTAAGCGAAAACAGATCGTAGTGTACTTTGGGAGAAGAATGGTGCAAAAACATTATAGAAAAATATGAGGATGAGTATAAGTGTTTTATTTTTTTATTGTATCATATAATCCTCTAATAATTCAGTTTGTATTTTAAATTGCTAAAGCAAGTTTTCTTTTCATACATTGATAATGCTTACTGATTTATGATAAACATTGATAGTTCAGAAATCTTTCTAAAAAAAGGGAGCAAAAAACATCAACTTGCACCTGAGAAGTAACTTTTCACTTGTAAAATATCGCAAAATTGCACCAAGATGGTTGCATTAATATGCAAATACCATAAAATATATTTTTAATGTCTTACAGCAAATAATTTATCAATTAAACTTTACATAATTTATGAACATTGGCCAAGCATTCTGTTTCAAACAATATTTGCTATTATCCACAATAAGTCTTGGAATCCATCTCTTGTTGATATTACTACACTACTGTCATATTAATTAAACTCACACAAAAATTAAATACTTAGGTACTTGTGTAATGTTATTTGCCAAAGAAAAATTTATAATTGGCACCAGCAAGGTAACTTTGGCACAAGTCCGGGTACTAAAGATTTTGACTGATGGACTTTGGTTCAGCTTTTACTCTGATAACAAACTTCTCGAGGGAAACTTTCCAGTCTATGGCAGTTTTAAGTGCTAGGTCGAATTAATCTAGGCAAAATTTAAACAATGATTAAGACTTGTACCAACAGCCGAAAAAATATCCAACTTCTATCAAATAAATTTCAAATTCTAATTTTTACCCTCTGCATGTTTCAATAATGCACATTGATAACATCAGTAGTGATGCTTAATTTGATTGCGGGGAAATAAGAAAATTATCAATATTTTGGGAATAATCTGCAATTAAAAAAAACTGACAATTTCTGTTTCATTATTTGATAAATCCTAGAAAACTGTGAACAAAGCTTCTTTTTAAATATGCTAAACTTAATAATTTAACATGCAATCTATCGTATGGATAAACGTAGTAGTATATCATATATAAATGTAAATCAAAATTAATTATAAATATCAAATGATTAAACATTGGATGAATTTTTATAAAATGTTCTACATATGTCTAAAATATATTTTGACAATTTAGATCAAATAAAATTTCAAAGGAAAAATTATGCTAAAACTCACTAGGGATGGGAGAATAGTATTTGCAGGATTAAAATTTCCTTAATTCAATATATTTCATTTATTGCTGAGAAACATTTTCCTAAACAAACACTAAAAATTAAAAATTGAGAGATTCTGTGATCAACCAGGATATATATGATAAAAAACTGGGAGTTTCACAGTAAAACGGGGAGCTGACAGCTATATGAGAAGAAAACAAAAAATGCAAAACATGTTAAAAGTTAAAAAAATTACATCAACAGGAAGGAGATATTTACTGGCAACTTATAGCCATAACTTGGAAAAAATGAAATACCAAGTAATGGATAACAGGCAAGTATTAGTACTTATTCAGGTAACATTCAAGTGAACACAAGTACAAATAAATTTTAACTAGATTTCTAGCATTTTTTAGCTTTAAAGAAACTTACCTCTAATTGAAATTTTAGATGAGTTCGTAGAGCTTCAAACAATAAGAAAGAAACTCTTAGAGCTGCGGCAAATACCGTTAAGCGCTCTATTTGCATCAGCTGGTAAAAAAACAAATGCAAATAAAATATAATTAATGTTAATCTGTATTTTATTAGTAGACAATTTATATTTATTTTTGAATGAAATAACTCTTTAGATTTAGAAGTGAAAATTTTCATAAAGCACAAAATATAAAAGCATATTTAAAAATAAACTAAAATTATTAAAAACATAGAATGCATCACATAAATACTTATTTTAACAAATGCATATTTTTAAATATATTTTTGTGCAAGAATAAATTATATAACATTGAAGAAATTATGTAGTTCATACAGTAGAAGTCCAGAAATCCGCAAAGCTTGGGACCAGAGGTTGTGCGGATTTTAGGGATTTCAGGACAGAAAGGATAAATCATAATATTCAGACTAAAAGTGCAAAATAAATAAGGCATATTAGATACATTTAATTAAATTATTATATGCATTAAATTATTATTACATATATAAATTGATTATATTATTCATTGCATTATATGTACACAGCATCGAGGTTTGCCAATTTCGATTCATGCAAAGATTTTCGGTTTCGAATTCCGGTATTAGAATCATTGTTGCTGTAAAATTTCGACAGCTTTTCTTTATTTTTCCGTATAGCGTACACAATCCTGTCGTAATTCCATACGATTCTGCTCTAAACCAAGGAGTAGCACCTGCCTCCATCTTTTGCAGAATTTGTCCTTTTTGCATTACCGTCAATGCAACGTGTTTACGTTTTTCAGCCTTGCAAGTAGTACAATCATGAGTGCGTTTCTTATCTACCATTGTATTAAAAAGGGCTGAAACTTAAAATATTCTTAATTCTTCTTAATATCCACAAAATCTCTACATATAATAAAAGAAAGAGCCTGTTTGTGTGTGTGTCTTTTGTTCGCGCTGCGCGTAAGCTAATAGACCCACGGCTACAAAATTTGATACATAGGTGCATCAAGACAAAAGCCAATGCACCACAAAGCGATTTTTTCGAAATTCAAATTTGAATTTTTTTATTTTATGTTTTGTGACGAAATCGCGTCATTTTGAGACATAATAGGCTATAAGAAAGCATTTACTCTACACACTCCATTTTCACATTGTCATGAAACGTAGGCACTTAGCTATTTTACGAACTTAAAATAAATTTTGTGTTTCAATAAAACGATTAAACATGAATTTATTTAACAAAGGTAACACCTTTCCAACAGGATTTTTTCTAAAAAAGTTTATTTTTTAAAATTTCGACAGCTTTTCTTTATTTTTCCATATATCATACACAATCGTGTTGAAATTCCACATGATTCTGCTCTAAACCTCCACAAAGCGATTTTTTTCGAAATTCGAATTAAAAATTTTTTTATTTTATGTTTTGTGACGAAATTGCATCATTTTCAGACATAATAGGCTATAAGAAAGCATTTACTCTACACACTCCATTTTCACATTGTCATGAAACGTAGGCGCTTAGCTATTTTACGAACTTAAAATAAATTTCGTGTTTCAATAAATCGATTAAACGCGAATTTATTTAACAAAGGGAGCTTAACACCTTTTCAACGGGATTTTTTTCTAAAAAAGTTTATTTTTAAAAACGTACAGTTTATTTTTCTTTAATTTTTGGACACGTTAAACTTTCATCCTTGTGACTGCTTTTACAAAAAGAATTTTGGAAAAATGATAATATTTTGTATTTTTTTAAAAAAAAATTTTAAATGAAGCTTCTGAGTACCCATCTCACATCTTTAAAAATGTGATTTTGGCAACAATTTTACTTTCTTATTGTTGCTGATAGATTTTTGATGAAATCGCATCATTTTCAATAGTTTCATTCTTTTAGAAATATGGGTTTGGCAACAATTTTTCATCGTATTTCTTATGTCACTGTTTTTTAGAGATTGGTATATTTCATTTTCATTTATATATATATATAATACCTTTTAATTGATTTTTTTTAATAAAGTTGTTCTGAAGAGTAAAATTCTGAGCGGAATTTTATGTTTTTTGAGTTGGCTTTCATGTTATTTTTTTGTTTATTTCACTGTTTGTAAGATATTAAAAAGTTTTGCATGATTTTTTCCTACAACGGAAAGTTAGTTAATTTTTTATTAGGATAATTAATATTTGTATTAAGGGATATAGTAGCTTATTTCATTGTCATTTTTTTCACTTGAAAGTATAAGATCAAATATCATTAATTATACTTTGCTTTTCAGAATTTTTTGTTTTTTGTATTCTTTTATGTTATTTATTGCTCATTTCACCGTTTTTTAAGATAATGAAAAGTTTTGAGTGATTTTTTTAGGAAACAAAATTCTTAACCTCCTTTAAAGCATTTGAGTTCTTAAGATTTTGCAAAGGGAAGTCGCTTAATTTTTTTATTAGGATAATTATTATTTGTATTAAGGGATATAGCTTATTTCATTGTAATTTTTTTTCTCTTGAAAATATAGGATAAAATATCATTAATTATACTTTGCTTTTCAGAATTTTTTGTTTTTTTGTATTCTTTTATGTTACTTATTGCTCATTTCACTGTTTTAAGATATCGAAAAGTTTTGAGCTGTTTGACTAATTCACAGTATTAAAACAGCAGTCAAAGATGCAATGCAAATATGACCACATTCAACATCTGCTCTCCTCAAAATGATTGCCTAAATCCATTCCTACTTCCAAAGATTTGTTTTCCTTCTTTTAACAAATAGGTTAAGCAGTTTCTCATATATAACAGAATAACATAAGAACTGGAGAATCATTGAAAATAAAATATGTATGAAATTATGCAGTCTTAAATAGGCAGTCTAGTTTTAAATTTAACATACTGTACAACACACTACTTATCTAATACAATCATAATAATGACATGATTGTAAGAAGCACAATGGTTTGAATTTAAAGAATGCAGCAGTTTATTTTTGAACAAACAGCAAATTGGAGCAACAACTGAAGTAAGTGGTAGTAGATTTTTAAAATTATAAGAGTAGAAACATAAATTTAAAACTAAAGTTAGTAGTTTTAACATCAGTATCTGACAAATACATGAAAATATATAAGAGCTCGAATTCAAAATTCTGCATCTTCAAAGAGTATCAACAACTATCCCTAAACAATTACAAAAGTTGACAAAATTGAAGTGCAAGGTATAAAATATCAGCTTAGCTTCATTAAATGTTTCAATAACGTTATAAAGTACTAGTTTAGTTTTACTGGAATTGAATTGTTTTAATTCAAACAATTAAATATGGTATTAAAAAAGCAAAACAGAAATTTAAATCATAAACAATGAACTGTAATTATTGCTTTTAAATCACCCAGCTTGGAAAGACGAATTAAAAATTTTATGCTTAGCCAATCAGAGAATCTAATATCATAATCTGAGAATCCAATAACAATCTGAGGATTTGCTATGCATAAGGGCTAACAGAATATAAATTAAAGGTTTATTATTCTGTTACATTATATTTTTAGGTTTTGCTAAATAACAACATTTGCTAAGCACTGCTTCTAATATTCCCCCTCCCCATTCATTAATTTTGCCAGGGTAGAGCTTTATGCTAACTGAAAATAATACACCTCCTTTGAGATTATTAGTAGATCCCGCAGTTGGAAGTACAGCAAATTTATTATTATAATGAATTAGTAGTGAATAATAATAGACTAATTATTTAACAAAATTACAAATATAAAATAGAATTGTATAACTTACAGCAAATAAGTTCCTACAAGTTTCATCTCGAATAAGACTCAAGAAAGAAGCAAATCTGCCCAAATTATCTGCTCCTGCTTCCAAAGCTACAGTCAGTAGATTGAGGCCAACCTGAATCATAGTTTCTGAATTATGTCGATCATGAGGATTGACTAAACTTACTAAATACCTAAATAGTTCTCTTACACATGGCAAACCATATGGCACAAGAGGACCTGAACCTATATGAAGAAAACATAAAATAATTTAAAATTACATACGAACAAAGGAACATACAAAAGATAGCAATATTAATAAAATTCAATTCAAAACTACCAAATTTTTAACAATTATGAACAGCTTGCACATTCATTGTATTCTAAACCAATATTATCCCTTAATCATGAAAAAGTACACTGCATTAAAGAATTGATGATCTGGTCATCACAGGAAGAAAACATTTTTATATGCATAAAATGTAGTAAGTATTCAATAATTTTGAGTTTATAAATTATGAGTTTTACAAACATCAAATTCCTGTATTTGTCAGTATTATATCGGGTCAGTCCATAAGTTTGTGCACATTAAGAGTATGCGTGGAATTCACTATGATGCATTTACTAAAACAATACAATTTTGAACCTGTTGAAACTTGTCATCGTTTGACTAGCATATTATTCAGTTCATCACCAACTTTCATAAATATCAACGTATTTTAATACCCATAGAAGATGAATATAGATAATCAGTACAAATAAGTTGCACTACATTTTTTATTTTCGTGTGGTGAATCTACCAGGTTTGCAGCGATAAAATTAATAGTGTACATGGTGAACACATTATTAGTGTAAGGACTGCCCAGAAATGATTTAAAAAATTTAAAGTTGGAAAAAGCAGCACTGATGATGAACCCCGTTCAGGACGTTTTGAACTGTTAGAACCAAATCAAATGATTAAGTCAGAAGTTTATAGTGAACATTTTTGCTGTCTAAACTCAGAATTGATCAAAAAATGCCCACGACTGGTGAATATTAAGAAAGTGTTGTTTCATCATGATAACGCTAGACCACATATGGCTCAAACAATGCTGCAAAAAATTAGTGAATTTAATTGGGAGTTTTTGCCACATCCTGCTTACGTCCCAGATATTGCCCCCAAGTGATTTTCACTTATTTTGTGCCTTACAAAATTTTTTTACCGGGAAAAAAAATTCAATTCTAAACAGGGTGTACACAATGAACTTTCAAGTTTTCTTGCATATAAACCAGTCTTTATACAGCAATGGCATAAAAAAGCTGCCTGTAAGATGGCGAGACATTGTAGATAATGGAAGAAAATATATAATTGATTAAAATGTTAAATTGTGTTTTTTTTATATTATTTAAAAATTTACCAAAAAATGCACATGAATTTATGGATTGACTCAATAGTAATATGATATTTATGAAGGCCTCCTCCTAAAAAGTGCTGCTTCAAAACACCATATATCTATATGCAGTTTGGTGTTAAAACATTATCTGTTTTAGCCTATTTTACTGCCATAAAATCACAAATAAATAAATAAATAAATAAATATTAGAAATTCTCTTGACAGTTCTGAGATGATGAAATGCTTAAAGACACTAATTCAGTGTCTAAGATTTCAAATGATAAGTTATTTCATTCCAAAGAAAACTGTCCAAGTTCCATATGTGATGATGAGTAAAACTATTCAAAGGTAACTTGCTGTGTTTCATTTCTTTATTTACTTACCTTTTAAAGTTCATTCATGAATGTTCTTGGCACTTAAATAAATTTTACACATCAATTACATGAAAATTACAGTATATTTCTTTCCAGTAAAGTTGTTTAGAAATGTACAATGAATGGGCAGGCTGCATGGGATTTTCATGCTTTTCCCCATACATAACACAAATTTAAGCCAATTTCCTTTTTTCCTTCACAAATCAGTTATTAATTTTTATATAAATCCAAAATCAATTTCAGAATAAAATCTAAATGGATGAAATAATTTTCTGCATAGTTTAAAAAAAAAAAAAAAACAGTCTTTTTAAAATTATGAATAAAATGAAAAGATGATAAAAAATGACAGTGTATTAACAAGTAAAATATACACTATGAAAATAAACCATTTTGAAGAAAAATAAAGCAAACATTTTACAAAAGTCTAAGTATAAAAAATTATCACTAAAAAAAAGCTATAATACTAGGTAACACATTTGACACCAAATAAAAAATTTAACATAATACTAACAATGTGCTTCAAACTTGATACACATTTGTTCTTTTCTGCAATTGCATCTGCAGTTTTTCTAAATGAAAGAAATATATAGCTTTATCTCTTATCTGCAGCAATACCTGGAAGCTGTATTGTTTGCCTTTAATATTTTCATATTATATCTATTTATTCAGAGCTTTGTAATACCTTTATGATACAAATATTATGCACCTCATGTGAGTATGTAAAAGTTACTGATCAATGCCATTTAATTTTTAAATGATTTAATGAGTTCTGCTGTAACAGTTAGACTTCTTTGCCATTTTCTTTCACCAGCTGTAAGTCTTTTAATTTAAAAACAAACAGAGTTTTTAAAATGGACACCAGCTTGAATATTTTTATCAATAGCACTAATAGTAGTACAAAAATGCATTTATATGTACTTTACTTCTAATTACACAAAATTCAATAATTGCATATTAAATATTATAAATACTAAATATTATAAAAGGAAGTAACTAATATTATAAAAGGAAATAATATTACTAACTATTCTTGTAAAATTTAAGTATGTTATTTCCTTTTATAATATACTAAATATTTTAAAAGGAAATAAAATACTTAAATTTTACAAGAATATCAGAATAATAATTATTGCAGAAACTCATAATAATTTTAATAAACTAATATTATTAGCTATTCTAACAACAATTCTACACATACATACCTTCTTTAGGTTGCTGATGAGGAGTAAATCGAACACCTCTGGGATTAACGTAATCCAATTCACTGTGATCAGCCAATGAGCTTTCTTCTAGAGCATCTGTATTTAAGCTTCCAGACTCACTGCTGACTTCCACAGATTCATTAAGCTTGTTCTAAATAGTGTAACAAAACATAAATTTAACCATCAACATTTTAAATACCTTGATAACCATTCACTAAATAGCAATGATACTCAAAACACTTTTGGTATATACAAGTGAAACCTCAGTTCATGAATTTATTTTGTTCTGAAGGTTTACAAGTTCATAGCACAAACCAAAGGAAATCATTAAATCTTACAGAAAAATGATAAACATAATGCTAAACAAATAAAATAGATGAAAATTTAATTTTAAATGAGAGAATAATTTAATTTTACTATAGAAGAAGAATGAAATGTCATGAGTGGAAAGTGATGACGAAGATAAAGGAAACAGACATGGTTAAGATGAAATCCTTTCCATAAAAATATCAGGTAATTGTCTTTCTAAGGAATCTTTTTGTCTCTTAGTGCCACTCTGTTTGAGACTCATTTGGTCTCATTTCACTAATAATTTGTCATGTGATTTGTTGTTACCTAGATTTTAAAATGTTTCTAAAGTGAGACATGACATTATCATTAGAAATGTATATATTGTAGCCTGCTACTGCTTTATCACAGCGATATCATTGAATAAAAATTTTTCCTCTTGCATTAACTCTTTGAGGGGCAGGAAAAGGCAATTAACTTTTTCAGCAAAACTCTTGTTTTATTTACTATATCAGGTGTTACAATGTAATTATTTGCGACAATTACACATATTTTGTTCAAGACACGTGAAAAAAATGACCACTTCTAGTGGTTAGTGTCAGTGAGCTCCGCCCACAGAACACATCCCTACAAATCAGTCTCTATAGTACTCGTGAAAATAATTTTTCATTTTCAAGCAGAGTGCTACTTTGCATGTCCTCAAAGTCCCTTTAAGGTTCAATGAATAAAAAAAAAAAAAAAAAAAAAAAAAGGAAATAACTTTACACATAGATAATTAGACCCTAATACAATGTTATTTCATGTAAAAAAAAGAAACAGGTAACCCTTTAAGGTAATTCATGACGTGGTGGGATACTGCTTGTAGAGCATCTAGAGCAGTAAAATAGCATCTTTACCTGGGCGTAAATTCTCCTAACATGCTTATCTAAAGTGCTAGTTTTAGCAACCAAATGAAAATGCAAAATATAAAAAAGTTTTTGAATAATTATCTAGAAAATATCGATCATATTCGCAAAATAAAAAAATATTTTTCAAAATTACATAATTTTAAAGAAAAATCGCTGTCTGTACGAGTTTTTAGAACTTTTTTAATGATTTCATAATAGATTTGAAACAGAAGATTTTCGCTCCAGTAATTTATTTACTACAAATTTGGAAAGGAAGATATTTAGAAGGCCATCATTTTTATTTACATTTCACCTCTTTTTCCACAGTTTAGGATATTTTTCTATGGTGAATCACCCTCACATATCCATTCAGTATTCAATGACATTTCATGTTACAGAGTTATACTTTCATTTCTTTTGGAAAAAATACTAAATATTTTTTAAGGTTTAACATTATTGCAATTTATTAAAAAATATAAATTTGCATTATCAACATATAAACTGAACATGATACTTGAATTAAAAAATATTTGAATGGTGCTGCCATCTAGTAGCAGCAATTCCTACATGCGTGGTGGGACGTATTTGCCCCATCTTTTAATTTCAACCATTCTTAATTAATATAAATGAATTCAAATAATAATTTTTATTAGAAAAGGAAACTTTCACATAAAAATATTCATTCTAACACCAAAAGTTGTTGCTCAGACGATTTAAATTACATCAGAAATTAAGGAAAAGAAATCCCTAAAAATTAGACTTGCAAAGAATATTTATTTTACATTATTTTCATGAATGAATACTAGTGCTGCCATCTGTTATACGTTTAGAGAAGCAAAAGGCTTAATTGTATGTATTTTAAATGGAATTTTCCAGCTTTCATCTAGGAGATAAAACCTGATGAAAAAGACCCGCCCACCACCCCTCAAAGCATTAAATCTCAAATTTTGATCCTAAAAAAATGTATTCTTTTGAAGGTTTTACATGCGGAAAGATTTGTTTGAAAGATCTAATAAACTCCTTATCTTTTGACCCAGACGGTTTATTAAAGTGGTGATTTTGGCTAGTATATGTCATGAGTACATAAACCACTATCATTCTGCAGCTACTAAACAAGTGCCATATTTATTTTAATATTTAAGCAATACTAGGTATTAATGTCATCTCTTTATTTTATTTTTATTGGTACTTTTTCATTTTGCCAGCGCAGGCGATAAAGTCATCAAAAATGGTACAACTGATGCCAAACGGAATATCCTCGCTGGTAACGTTTTACGCCTTATTTTCAAAACAATTTGCGGCCATTTCTTATCAGATTGATTGTTTCTTTCAATACTGGCATACGATTACATAGAATTTTTACCAGATAGTTCAATTTTATGCCCTAAGGCCATTTGCGGTAATTAAGTCAATTAGAATACAATCACACCCGCTAAACCAAAAACATATAAGCATTCTGTACTGCTCCATGCGCATAGGGAAAAATCCATACTTGTGGTTGGACATACTTTTCGATGACATCATTTTCTCCTGCCATAAATGACATTTAGGTGGGATTCTTACTGTTTTGTTTTCTTTGAATGACGAGTATGGGTGAAAATTATCGTTTGTTTTCTTTGAAACGAAAAAATTTAGCTGCAGCGTTCTACAGGTGGCTTCCTTTTTCATTGAATAAAAAAATTATAAAATCTTTCAAAGATGCTGTTGATACCAGAAGCAGTCTTAAGCGCTTAGAATATATAAATGGTTGAGTTCATGAATTTAGTGCAAAAACCAAAACACGACGATTTCGATCCAACGGTAAAGGCAATGTGTGCTAGTAGGTATATTATTATTATTGCAATTTTGCTGCTTCCTGTTCATTTCACATTGAAGAAAATATTTCCTTTGTAAATGTTACCTTCATGTCATTTCTAATATTCTGTTGCCTTAAGAAAAAAGTGCATTCAGTATTGTCGCTGAACTTAACCCACGTGTATTTCCTTCTCTGACAAACACTATTTTTATGCAAAGGTACAAAAGATGTTGCACATTAAAAAATGGGTAACATTCATAAAGTAATATTATACAATTTAAAATATGTATCTCTCTTTCTCTACTCCAAACCTATATTAGTCTAACTTCAAAAATAAATTTTACTCTTTCAGACTGATTATAAATATTGTGAATTTACTATGTTAACATGTTAGCTTCCAACATTGCGTTTGGTATTTCTGAAAACTGACTTGTCTCATGCCTTCGGAGATTGCATCTGCAGAGAATGGACATATAATGAACATGAAATAATGAACTAATAATCATAGCCCCTTTAATATGAAGGTTTTTCAACCCTCTTAAGCGGCAAGGCAGTATTTTTACGGCCTGGAATATTTATTGTGATATCTGTAAGAACGTATATATACGTGCATATTAAAATATGTCAACGAAATTAAGGCAATATACCAAAAGAAAACAAATCCAGGTATGAAATACCAGGAAAGTTTTTGCATTAAAATCAAAAAAATATTTTGTTCTCATAGTAGTTTTGGGAAATTTGTGCTTTCTTAGAAAAAACCCTGGCTGCCCATAGGGTTAATTAAGAATACATTCATTAAAATTGCTGCACTTAATATTAATACACATTTACGGAGTTATAATAATAGAGAAGAAATAATACTTTTTCTTTAGGAAGAAAATCACTACATATTTTATATTAAATTCATCATACTGTAATGCTGTAAGAATTGTAGTCTCATAGTAACAAAAGTACAACGCACGTAATAATCTTTTCGGTACTGCCATCAAAATGTAAACAAACGGTATAAAGCTGTTCCCTGGAGCCCAAGCAAAGTCAAGACGTTCCTAAGCATAGAGGAAATGATGTCATCGGAAGCCATATCCAATCGCGAGGAGAGATTTTTTCCCTATGTGCGTAGCACGGGACAGAGTGCTTATATGCCACCCAAAAATGTACATAGAAGAGGCAAAGTCAAGGTTTAACAGTAAAGCACTGTGATTTTACATAATTTCTCAGTAAGCTATTCATACAAATTGAAATAATTCTTGTATTTAAACTTGCATTCCTTAAGATTTAACTTGAAATTAATGTAGACAATTACTGAGAGAATTAGATTTTTGCAGCATAGTTTACGCAAGATGAGACTACTCTGGGCCACGTGATACGAACCGGTGAATCAGCATGTTGAACCATGAAAGCACAGTAAATTCTTAAATTAATGTCTTTTTACAAAATTTTAAACGATATTAAAATGTTTATGCCTTCAAAATAAAAACTTCTTAGAACCAACATTTGTTAAAATTTTTGTGTATACTGTGTGTTGTCGTCAATAAAGTCTGCTTTGCGAGATTTGCGCCGGCAAAATGGAAAAATACCTTTTTATATAGTTATCTACACTTTGAAAAATTAAATTGCAAACTGCACTTTCAGATATTTTTCCTTGCTATACTTTGCTAACATTGTTCCTCCTTTTTTTTTCCGGGGGGGGGGGGGGGGGGGAAGCTTTAGTTTTATTTCTAATACCAATAGAAATCAATCATTTTTGTAAGCTATGTTCTTAAACATTGGATATTTTTTAGTAATATACAATTAAAAAGTAATGGCTGCCCAAAAGTAATTATGTAAGCTTTAAAAGTTAAAATATAAGAATGTTTAATGACATATTAATAAAATATTCAACACAATTATATAAGCACTTAAGGTAATAAACGGAAATTTTTCAGTTCATACAAACATCTTATTTGCTGCAAAGAATACAGATTACCTATGGGAGGGGAAACAGCAGCAGCAGAACATGAAGAAGAGTAAAATAAAAATCACATTGAAAAATAAAGCAAGATCTGCATCAATTTTTATCTTCAAAATTACTCTCATACCAAAAAATTTAACACATTTTACCACATAAAAATTTTATAGATAAATCTGGTACCTGATTATTGGTTTCTGCTTCAAGAGAAGAATTTGGCAGTATTCCATTAACGTTATCACTTGCCTCACAACCAACATTAACAGGATAAGACTACAAAATATAAATATATAATTAAGAACAGAATTTTAATTATTTCATGAATACTAATTCAAACACTATTCTTTTCTAATATTTTTCTACAGTAAAATTCAGATTTAAACTTCCCTAAAACTAGTATCAGACTAAAAGAACTGAGGAAACAATACTTCTGTATACCCTTTCTGCAGATATATAAAACCTGCTTTCTCGACAAAGATAATGACAAGTCTAGATACTGATAGCAGATTTACATGTTGGAAGAAAGTTAATGTTAGTGAAGAGTAGATGTAGACTTTGGTGAATGCAGAGAATTCTGTTTCCATCAACTCTCTCAATATGATGAGGAAACAAACAGATATGTACTTGGAAAGGAAAGATGATGAGAAGGGAGGATGAAAATAACACACAGAGGAAGAAATGTAGAAGGAAGCTAATGAAGGATTACAGACATTCATAAGTTTCACTGAACAATCCTCATCTCTGTCAATGCACGATGAAAGATGATGAGAAGGGGAGATGAAAATAATACGCAGATTAAGAAAATTAGAAAATTATGTGGAACCTAATGAAGGATTACACACATTCATAAGTTTCACTGAGCAATCCTCATCTCTGTTATGAAGTTTCATGTTATGAAGCATGAAGTTATGAAGCTTCACTTTATACAAAATGAATTTTTAAATTCTGACAACAATCTTATAAGCAGGCAGACATGCAACAATACATTGGATTACACTAAATCTCTAGGTTTCCAGTGATAATGCATATTACAATGCTAAAAATGTAGTTTAATTTTTTTTCTGAAACATAAAATCCCGCATATGTGCTTTAATTAAGTTATTTATATAATTTTCAATATTATTCATTTAACTGTGTCCAATAGATTGAAAATCCCCACGAATGGGCTTCACATGCTGCATTTTCTACAAATGGCATTACAAAACAAACAATTATAAAACAATTATTAATATATTCAGTATATATATATAACTTTCAATAATAATTCTACTTTTAAGCAATTCAAAATTTACCCAAATAGTTTAACACTTAATAAAATGAATACGAATCAAGATACTATTGAATTCCTAGACCTGCAAATTATTAAACACAGAAAATTAAATTATTTGATAAAAGAAGGAATTTCCATTTTCCTACTATTGAACTAATTAATTGAAACTCTAATATTTCTAGAAAAGTAATAGAAAACACGTTTCATAGCCAAATTATCAGAATAAAAAATATATATACTGAAAATGACGATTTAAAGGAAGAAATCATAAAACTAATTAATATACAAGTTGATAACCAAGTACCACCAAAATTTATTAATTTATATATTAAAAAGGCAGGCCTTACTTTATAATTTTTTGGCTCTTTTGGATATGATAACATTACCTTAAACCTTAGCTGGAGGGTAATGAAGGATATAAAAGAGTAGAGAAATTATTGTAAATTTTTATTGTAAATATTTTGTAAATATGTATATTTAATCAATACTGGATTATTTCTTTTTACTAATAAAGGGCCAACTCTTTTCAAAAGTCTCAATTATAGCCCGAATTGAGTGAAGATTTTAATCTTCTTCTTCTAATTTTCCATACTTTAGCCAGTATTTAGTTAAGTTTTGATATACCAATTGAAATCAAGTTCATTAAACTTTTAATATTTTCTTTCATCAAATTTAAATTTTATTTAACTTCCTAAAGGAATTTTTGAGAAATTTCTGGAATTTTTAGAGGTTTTTTAAGGACTTCATTTCAAAAAAAATTTTGGGAAATTTTACTTTAAAACTTTAATATTAAAACATTTCAGTTTTTATTAATTACTTTAATTTTTTGCAATTTTCACACAAAATATCTTTCACTTAATTTTTCAACAGAACACATATTTCAAATTACAAACAGTTTACATTTTTTTCACATACCACTTCACTTTAATTTCCTTCAAGTAAACTTACATCTCTTGATTGGCTCAGTTACTTAACTTCTTAAATAATTGATATTACTACCTTTAGGATTTTTAATTTAATTAAATTTAATTTTTAATATTAATGTTTACAAAAAAATTTTTTACTATAACAAAGATAGCAGCTTGACACTCAACTTTACCTACATAAGCGCCATCTATATAATTTGAAGAACACACTTACTTCTCTTTCACAACACTTTTGCAGACCCCAACACTCATATAGTAGGTAAGTTAGAATTAAAACTTACTATTTACTTGCTTTAAGTATTTTTTTAAAAAAAATTTTATGTAGTATCTAAGTATTTTCTAAATATGAAATTATATTTTTAAATATATATTCGTTTTTTAAAAATTGTGAATTAGTTCTTTTTGTTTCTTATTGGTTTATATGGATTATGTATAGTTCTTTTATAGTTTCTTTTTATTGATATGCATATTCGTGTAGGGGAAGTTCTGTAGACAAGGATTTCTAAAATACATTGGTTTCTAGATTTTTTTATTATTTTATAAAAAATTAATTTTTAAAAAATTAAATTTTTTAAGAAAAAGTTTAATTTTTGACTTTACTTGCTTGTTACTCAAAAGACTTCATTAGTATTTTCCTTTTTGAACTTTAATTCTTAAATGTTAATACTTAAATGTTAATTTCTAAGGGTACCAGTTTATTAGAATTACTTTTGGTTTTGACTTTTACCCTTGCCTGCATGAATGACGAAACACGAATTGAATGATTGGAGAGTTAGGTTTGGAGGCAACTTCTCCTTGATAAGTCTGTCTCCTGCCTACTTTACGGTCATTCACATATGCATTTTTAAAAAAAATTGTTTAATTTAATTTTAATTTATTAAATTAGTAGATTTAATTTTCATGGATAGATTTTGCACTTGATTTGCTTATGCTTCTGAATTTAAATGATATTGTAGATTAGTTCGAGAGAATTAAATCTTTACATGTTTGGACATTTTTTTTTAATTTTAAATTATTCTGGCTTTTTTTTTTTTTTTTTAGAATTTAAATTTGTTTAAATTTAAATATATATATATATATAAACAAATTTAAATTCTTAACAATAATAACAATAGTAAATATATATATTATATATATATAACAATAATAGTAATATATATATTCCTCTTGTAAAAGTCAAAGAGTGATAACACAACTTTTTCCATTTGTATTTTTATTTCCACTTCATTTGCTCTTTATTAAAAGTTTGTTCCGCCATTTTTTTTGTAATTATTTTATGTTACATTATATGTATAGTATTACAAAAATGTTTTACAACAAAAAGATACCACTCTATATATATATATATGCAATTATCCAGAAAAATCTCTTACTTCAAAACTGAAGAATGATTCAACTGCATATAAAATTAGAGAACATTTTTACATTTTTAATCAAATAATCATAACTTGGCTTTAAATAACATTAATATTATTGTCTTGGTTTGTTAAATTGATTTATTTTGCATTTCAGAAAAACAAAAGAGTAACCATTAAAAATGACTTCACAAAAGAGTCTAGACACTTGAGAGTAACTGTTCTGTTGAACAATAATGGATAATTCTTTTTTTTTTTTTTTTTTTTTTCTTTTTTGTTTTGGCACTGCTCCATGCAATACATGAAAATGAATTTACAATCCGAATTCCTCGATTCTTATTTTGTTTTTAGCAGATGATAATTAAAACATTAGGAACTAACCATATTTTTGCAACTATAGCTAAAGGTAGAAAAATAGATAAATTAATCTTTATTGTTAAACTGTTCAGTGTTAAATACTTAAACTTCAATTCTTAAAAATAGATAATTTTACATACTAAAAGTAGTAAGCCTAATCGAAATATATCAGAAACTGTTAATAGTAAGGTTGGAATATCTTTGATGTTGCTAATGGGTATCAAACGGCATCGCATGAAATCAAATTCAGACCTGGATGCCTTTCAAAATGGTCATTACGAAAACAGAGGCTCATTTTAAAAGAAATTAAAAAAGATTATCAACTACAAAATTTTCTATAGAAATAGGTTTAACCCCTTAACTGCCGCGGGCGTATATATACGCCTTGCTCAGCCGATGCGTTAACTGCCCCAGATGCGCAGCCGATGTGTTAACTTTGCGAATAATTTTAGGTGTAGCAGCGCAAAGCAAATGATAGCAGTTTGGAAGGACGTATATATACGCCTGGGGCAGTTAACACATCGGCTGAGCAAGGCGTATATATACGCCCGCGGCAGTTAAGGGGTTAAACAAAGGAATACCTGTCATGGCATAATTTTTTCATAATATGTTTGATTTAAGAATAGAATTCTTAAGAATAAAAGAGAATCAAGAATTCTTAAGAGTGGAAGTTTCATTCTGCCTTCTTGAACTTTCTCATATCAACAAAATAACAAGTAAATAAAAGAATGGAACCTACATTAAGCTAAGCAGATAAAAAGAATATGAAATTACTCATTTATAAATTATATCGAAACAAAGGATTATATGTTACTGAATAATATACTTTTTGGTGAATAAATTAAATGTTCTTAATCACATGAAGGACAAAAAATCTGTAGCCACACAATGAAGAACTCAACTAAGAACAATTGAATATAACAGATATGGTGCTTTAGTTTAAGGGCACATGACTGCTGCTGGATTTCCTAAACTGTTGTTTATTAAAGATAGATATATAATATAATATATATAATATTTAAGCTACTCACAAAAGAATTTTGCCCACAAAACAGCTTGTTTGGGGCAGAGGAGCGTGATAACATGTTGTTTCTTCTAAGGCACAGTAAAAGTTTACATCAAATAAACAAGGAAAATTTAGTATTTTTAATAAAAAATTTATTAGTTCAGTTCTAAGAAGTATTGTATATGTTTTCAGCAAAGAAATAAATATTCAAAATATATGTATGGGATTTCACAGTCTCGACTATTGGATAAGTCAACATTCTGGATAATTGGATTTTATTTGGTATAATGCATTATGCTATTGATGAAAATATATATATTTCTTTTCATACAGTAGCATAAAAAAGTAATACAATCCTAAAAAAGTTTCTTGCAAATTTCTAACCTAAATAGCTTTTTAAATAATTAGTTTTCATATTACAAATATCCTATTACTTATCACAGGCACTGTATTTGCCATGATTTAACAGAATGCAGATATGACAATATTATCATGAAAAGTGGCGAGATAGCTTCCTCGCAAAGCGGGTTCAGGGTTTACCAGATTAAACAAGAAATAGCCCATTTGGCGACAAAATTAGAAGAAATAAAAGACAGACAATAAAGTTGCAAAAACAACTCCAACAGATGGTAGAGGAGCAAAAGAAAATTAGAAATGACATTGTGGAAAACTAGAACCAAAATAGATGATGTGAAAATGACAGTAGTGGCATCTCAAGAATCAAAGGATGAAGAAATGGAGGAAGTAGTTAATGAATTATTTAAGAAAGATCAAGAAATGACACATGGAACATGTAACAAGACTAAAAAAAAAAGAAAGAAAGAGAAGATGAAGAAAAGAAGCTTTTGATTCTCAAGTGCCTGAAGTGAAAATGAAAGAAAGTGATAATACTGATTGTCAGATAGATGAAGAAATAAAAAAAGTGGCTAGTTAAGCATATGAAAAACGTGAAGAAATTATTCATGGAAATACTTCCCGATTCTCAACTGCCTGAAGTAAAGACCCCCCCCCCGAAAAAAAGTGAAAATGTGACTGTTAAGTTGGTAGAAACTTATAGTGAAGTTACGAAGTTGCAGTTAGCAAGTACTGAATCATCTAAAAATTTGTGTAATGTACGGATGGGAGAAACTGATGTACAGCTTAAGCAGAATGTTCCAGTATCGCAAGAAAATACATACGCTTCACAAACTAAGTTTGTGTCTCATAATGCAAGTTGTACAGACACAAATTTGATTCTAAACCAGGATACTTCTGTTTGTAAAGCATCAGATTCTATTCATAACTCTAATGCAAACCTCAGAATTGTTTTTTAAGAAATAGAGGAAAATAAGCATATACCAAATGCTAAAAATACTGAGGTGAGCTGTACACATGATGGGAATAAACTACAGAGTGGTGAGCAAACAATACTTACGTACCATGACGACTACCATGGAAACATTTGCCAATAAAAATCTTCATTAGCATTTTTTGGTTTATGTTTCTAAATTTTTTTTAAAATAAAAGCCTTAAAGAAACAAAAACTTAAAAACCAAAAATCCCGAATATTATAAATAAACGTATATATATATATATATATATAATCTATATAATAAATATGAATTAAAAAATTAAAATTAACTTACTTAAAACTGGTTAAAAGAAAACGTTGAAGTTAATGGTGAGAAAAGTGGTGGGAAATAGCTTTCAAAATAGCATCGAAAGATATTTCCTGTTTTTTTTGCCAAAGAAATTCAGCTAAATAGGTATCTAAATAATGGCAGCTTGTCCTACGTCACTTGTTCCTCCATTTTACGGAAGAATTAATACCGAATAGACTGAAGAAATTAACGCTAAAATTTTATATTATCTGTTTTCTCTTAAAATTTGGGCATATTTTAAAAATATACAATTTCACATGGCAGTGAGCTGTATACAAGCATAACAAATCTTGTGTAAATATTGTGAACCTTTCTTTACGGTTGCTCTGCATTTTTAAAATACCAACTATTCTTAATGTGCTTAAGTTTTTTATTTGTTTTGCACCAATAGTACATTTTAGTTTTAATTATAGCTGCTCAATCGGTATAGTGGTTAGCATTGCTGACTGCCGTGCCTAAGGGCCCGGGTTCGAATCCCTCTATAACCTATGTTAGGGTTAATCTGCATAACCTACAAGGGCCGCCAGTTGTGGTGAGATATCTAGGTAGTCATCATAGTATGTAAGTACCGAGCAAACTGTTTCAGATCTTTCTGTAGATGAAAAATCCGAAAGGACTGAATCTTCAGACTGTGATTTGCAAAACAGATAGACATCTGAGAATTGTAGTGATAAAGTAATTAAACAATGAAAAGTCTGAAATTTAATTTAAATTAGTCTGAATTTATAATTTAATTTAGTCTGAATTATTTAATTTAAAATTGTTAAATGGTTAATTTATGTATATAATTTGTAAATATTTGTTTATTTTATCCTTATTTACCTTATTTGTTTGTTTTATTATCTTTTGTTTGTATCAAATCTGGCTTCTGGCCAAGGACTGTACTGCCTGGGGCACGAAGTCCTCAGAATGGAGCAATGTTACAAAATGCCCAGCTACGGTGAGATACTTTACCTGCAAAATGGGATTAGCGTTGCCAGAAAATGACAGGGAAAAGCAGGGTTTTCAGACTTGGCAACAAAACAAGCAATATGCCCTAGACGGAGAGAGAACATTCTAGAACACAGTCTTGGGGGTTTTCCTTGGAAATATTTTAGAAGGTAGAACAAAGCTATATATACCCCCCTGCATGCGGAGAGAGGAGTATCTATAATTCAGTAGTGTCCCTTGAGTTCAGAAATTAGATTGAGAGTGATCGACCAAATCGGGAGCTGTAATTTTATGCTTTGCAGTAAAGCTGTCTTTACCATAGCCCAAAGGCTGTGTTGCTGATCGATTCAGCGTGTTTATCATAGTTTTTGGACAACTGTAAATGTGTCTTTGGAATTATCCTGTGTAAAACTGGCAAATAAATTGTGTTTTGATTCTTCATCAAGTGTTATCATCAATTACTTCAAATCTACGAACTCGTAGAACGCAACAATATTATTTTACTTTCATATATAGATCACAGTAAGATATTAATTCTAAAGCATATCTGTACAGTTATGCATTTATATTAGAGCATTATAGTTATTTATGTTTTATCAGAAGTTATGCATTTATATCAGCACTGTATCTTTTCACATTATGTATTTAAATTAAAAATCATATTTCCTTACTTGAGCTGGCCCAGACTCCATACTTTCTTGATAATTTTGTCCTTTAACATTTTCTATTTTCAGAATTAACTCAGGATTCTGATTATCAATTCCTGATTCAGAAATTTCAGTTTTTTCATAATTAATAGAATCACAGTCAGTGTTTATTTCACCCGAATCATTTATGTTATTCTGTGAGGCAGCTGCAGGATTTCCATAAAGCACAGCTTCTTGGCAGCTTTCCACAGATTCAGGGGAATTAGGACTAGCATCAGGTGCACGTGAAGTGTTTTCAAGTGTAACTTCGGAAGAATTAGATAAACTTGAAGGCAGAGAATTCGTAGATTTATTTGGTGCATTAGATTCTGTAGGTTCAGAAGAATGAATACTCCGATGCTTAAGCCGAGGAGAACGTTTCCTTCGACTTCGTCCAGTATCAAGACCACCAGATCTCATTTTCAGCTATTAAAAAAAATTTTTTTTTTATTATAGATTTTGAAGACGAACATTAGAAAATAAAATGTGTGATTAAAGATTCTTAACATATTTTATTGTGACAGAATATATTAAAAATGTTTAAGTATATAGCTAATTCAAGACATACGTGGTATACATTCTGTATTGCCATGCATGATATAAGGAAATTTTTGCAACAAAATTGATAATAACTGAGTTATTCCAACTTAAAAATTCGGTAAATTATACCTAGACTTTACAAAATAACTAGTTTTAATAAAACCAAATAATAAAATAATAGTTTACAAACTGAATTTTAAATATTTTTAAAACAAAAGCAGCATTTTTAAAGTCTCACTTGAAATTTATTCTGCAGAAATAGTAATGAGACATTTTAATCCTCGGAGAGGATACAAAATTAAGAGTATAACTAAGAAAGATGAAATATTTAAAAAATATTAATTCATGCGTATGCAAAAAAAAAAAAAAAAAAAATTCTAAAACCAAAAAAATGCTTTAAAAATTTAAGAAAAAATCTACATATTCATACATTATTTAATATTTTTCACAGAAATATGAGTACAGTTAAAGTCCAAAATCCGGACTCGTCGGGACTTCGGCGATTCCGGATTTTTCCAGATATTTAGATCATCAATTTAAATCTGGTAAGATGGCATGCAGAAATTATACAATTAAAAATATGAAATCATAATTTATGAAATAAAGAACAATTATGATCTAAAGGGTATGAAAATTTACAAAAAAAAAAAAAAAAGCTTAATATTTATTTTCTTTCTTTATTTATTTATTTACACTTCTTTCAATGTAAGTTGTTTAAGTTGCTTCCACAAAAAATTCAAAAAGTTACTTTTTCTTTTTTCTTGTGTCATATACATTGAGCATACAGTTGACTTTCCAATGCCATACTCTTTGCATAATTTTGAGATGGATATGCCTTATTTCACTTTTTTGTTTATGGTCACTGAAACATGGTTTCGCTTTGCAGATCCTTTGACAGCTCCAGAATTGGAAACTCTTTTCAACATAATCGAAAGTTCAAGCTTAGTTTTTATAAAATTGCCGTAATAATAACAGTCAGCAAAAAATAATAAGCTGGATCAAACTAAAAGATTAAAGAGCAGCGCAGTCCACTAATTTTAGCCTCTTAACCTTAGTGTCCATGATACATAATTGGCTGTGTATCACAAGATTGGCGATGAAAGCTAAGTAGTTTCGCTAAATTTTGTCTTGCTCCTGTTGCATACTGAGTTAAGCCTGAATTGTATTAGTTATTTACTATACCTATGTTTATTTCTTGCACATGCTTAAAACTAAACTGAATCCTGAATAAATAAACTTTCGCATATACTTGGTATATTCGCTTTCAGCGGTAAATACCACCTGGTGCATTCTCTAAAGGTCCTAAATTCTGCTACAAAGTGCCTTATTAAGTTCTAAATTTTCACCGTACCTAAACTTTGCATCCGAATGCTTCCCCTAAATCATAGAAAACTTCTCATCCCTTAAATTTGCTGCTCGATGATTCCCCAAATTCCAAAAATTTTGTCTTCTCTAAATTTTGCCGCCGCTTCTGGGTTTATGGTGAATAACAAATCAGTTATTCTTAATTAAAATAGCACTAAATGTAATCTTTTGGCCTGTGAGTTTCATTAACAAAATCTATTTTTAGCATATAAAAAGAAATTTTTGTTGAATTTTTGCCCCATCAGCATATTTTACAGCATTTAAAAATCTACAATCATCGTGAAGCATAATGTTAGCATAAAAAGTTTCCGTACTCGTTATTTAATTACTAATATAATAAATAATAAATAATGACCCGCCAGGTCGGTATCAGGGATAAAAAATAGGTGAATGTTTTGGTTTGAGATGTATGCCAAGCAGATATTCAGCTACGGAGCCAAATTATTAATCTCACAAATTTATACGACCGTTTTTCCATAATAATGTATTTTATTTAGTGCCTAAGTGAAATTAAGAATCAGAATTTTTAAGTGAAAATCTCGACAAGTTTTGTTATGGAAGGAAAAATCAAATGCACTTACATAAAGAATATTAAAAAAAATTGTTTGTGGCTTTGAGGTCCGGATTTTAGATCATTCCAGATAATGGATGTCCGGATTTCAGACTTTGTACTGTACAATAAAATTTAACAGATGAACCAATATACTATACAACTTGGGTATTAAAAATTCTCAGATATAGTAACTGAATTACTTCACTAAAACTTAATATATAAACAAGGCTTTTTCTTCTGTTATATAATTTTTATTTGAGATATACTACTTTTCTATGGAATCTTAGAAGATCAGTTATTAAAAAGGATATCAAAATGTTTCAAAGTGTTTAAAAAATTTACCCCGGAATTTGAAAAAAACTAAAAAAAAACTATCAAATTTAATAGAACTGTTTAATAAATGAGCTATTTAATAATTAATACAATGCAGCTATATGATTTTATCACTTTGAAAGGCATTTTTGAAATTTTTATTTCTACACAATAATATAAACAGTTTTAAGTCATCACTGAAAAAATATGAGCTTTCGTATAAGAATGTGCATGCATTTTTATATATTATATTATTCAGAATGCTTTAAAATTAATAATTGTTAGAAGAGGGAAGAAAAAACCCTGAAGAAAATAACAAATGTTTTACGTCATTAGCTGCAAGCTGAAGTTTAAAAAAATATATATTAATGTATTCGCAACTTAAAATTAGATACACTTACATAAAACATGGAAGTTTTAAAAATTATTGGAAAAAAAATCTGAAAGGCTTCAGATTTTAAATTACGTTCAAGGGGACTTTTTTTTTTAATGTTTTGTGTGTTACCTTTATTTATTAAATACTGTGTTCTATGTACTCAAACTATAAAATTTAGCTCAACAGCAATATTGCAAATTAATTTTAAAATGAGCATATCTTTAGAATTTCCGATACAGAGTCTCGCACACTGGAGTTTTTTTTTTTTTTTTTTTTTTTTTTGTACAGTGTTGCTATTTCTCGCTTTGAAATTGTTTAGTTTGTTAATCAAAAATTTGTTGCAGTGTTCCAAAATCTGAAATCGATAATAAAACAAATTTCAAATTCAAATTAGGGCTTCCACATGCCCATATTGTATGGAAGATTAATTATTCAAATTTTGATGGCTCTAGGTACCGTTGTTTTATCACAATGCAAGAAACATACATATGTTTATGCAGATTCTTCATTATTTAATTTCTTTAAATGTAAGACAGGGCAATAATATATAGTGGCAATGATTTGAAAAGTGATACAGCCTTCTATAGTTTTCAATGCAAAATGCCAAAACGAAATTGTACGAAATGAAAGTACATCAGGGCAAATTACCCCTTTGGACTAATAAATTATTAATATATTCAATTATTCATATAATACAGATAAAAGTCCAGAACGTAAGCTTTGTACCTGTATGAAAATATAAACTCTAAGATATACATAAAGTTGCTTACATCTTATATCAGAGTAAATATGCAGAACAACTTGTTTAGGAGAGTGATAATGGATTGCGCACCCTTCATCCCTGTAACATAACTGGATTTACTCCTTAGACTCTCAGACTTCCTTGTGCTTACATTATATAATCTGTTAGGTTGTTGATGCAGTAGTTACAAATATTTCTTAATATTTGCCTTTTATTCACTTTATAAATGTATTGTTGTTTGCATGCATGTAGATATATACGTCTTCTAATGAATAAAATCAAAAGTAAGAGTTTTGTATGATTTTTTTTTTTTCCCTTGTACTAACTGGTATCCTACTGAACACCTTAATCTCTCTTTAAAATGAACCTAACATAATTTGCAAGTGAAATTCATAGGAACTCAGAAAATACTTTATCAGACAATTTTTACTTTTTAATCTTCATGTTTAGACATGAGAAATACTCAGTTGAATTACTAATAAACTTCCTTGCACTGAAATTCAATCAAAACAGGTGTAGGATCTAACTTTTTAGAATCATGCAAAGATACAATCTTATTAATAGGCCAGGCGACTTTTGCAAAGGCATGAAGAAATAGCACACAGGGGAAAGGTTTAAATTGTCCTTTTATTTGATTAAACTCTTTAACAAAAATGCACGCACTTCGTGCTCACAATAATACAGAATACTTGCAATGAGAATTTAAGAAAAATTTAACAACTTTTAAATGGCAAAGAGTAGTGCTGGTCTAACAGGCCAAATCACCAATCTACACCGGTGACAGACTGTAATAAACAGCCAGAAGACATAGCAGCAATTAAGATGAACACCAGGAAAGACAAAATAGCAATGTACACTATACTAGTGAAATCACGCTCTGTCTAACTTTCTGTTTTAGGCCATTTAAATACTCTTCTTCACTTTAACTTAATTTGCATCCTGGCGAGGAAATGCGAGGAGAAATGAGGAATTCAGAAAAGATGCCAAAAATTAGAATAACTGGTTATTTAAACTAACAGAAATCCTACAGAGGAAAATAACATTTCCTCTTTTAGTAAAACAAGTATTGAAATAAAGAATAACTTCTAAGCAAATTTTTATATAAACATTTCACTATAGCTATCTTATTTGAAAAATATATGATATACTTTATGATACAAACATGTCATATAACAATATGATATTTAAGAAAAATATTATATTTTATTTTTTAAGCTTGCATCTTGTTTTATAAGTTTTAAAATAAATATGTTAAAAATGCAAATAATATTATTTTTCCTCTTACTGGATAACATAAGGTAATGTATAGAGTTTTCAACATTACTTCTAAAAGTTGAAACAAGAGACCACAGATATTATGCGAGTTTGTTACAACATGCGGGTTCATGGACGTTTCATTAAATAATTACTCCAGACTATCACTGCTCACTACAGATGTGCAGAAAGAAATTGATAATTTGTAATACACGATAATGACACATAGCAAAATAAACAGCTGAAAACAGCTCAAGGAGAATGTAGATACTAAGCAAATTCTCCTAGGCATATAAGAAATATTGTTAAATCCCTGAAATCATTTACACAGTAAACTCTTAAGACACAATTCAGCTAATTCTACAAACCTATTTGAAACTTATTCATATTAGCTTTCAAAGCCATATTTATATAGCTGGAGCTATGGGGGAAAACAGTGATAGATCTTCGAAATACATTTTCCCAAATCTTTAAAAAAAATTGGAAAGTTGGTTAAAAAATTGCTAAATGTTAATAACTTGGCAGAGAAATTCTGCCTTCAGAAGTTTCTTTGTCTTATCTCGCATTCTAGTTTTGCATGTTACAGTCCATAATTTCTACCATGAAGTGATGATATCTGTAGAATGCTGAGAGCTGTTTTCCATTTTCACTAATTTCTGCTCTTTTGTTTGAGTTTTACTTAGCCCTTTATATACAGTGCATTGCTTCATAAATGTCTCTCACTTCTACAGCTCTGACACTTTAATCCATTATTATCACTTCTTTGAGTCTTAACTGTTTCTATTGCCTCCAGTCTTTTCATTAGCTCTGTTACCAACCTCAACATGAAGTCTTCTGCTTTGATGACATCCTTACATGAAGAAAAGATTCAGCAGAATTCACTGATGCTTCCTTTCTATCTTCCTGCCATTTGATTCAATTGTATTCTTCATGTTATTCCTGGTTATCAACATTTAAAGTTCCCACTATTTTCATATTAGTTATTGTAAGCTATAGGTATGTAAATGCATCTTAAAATAATCTCTCCAGATAAGCAGGAAGAAATTGATAATTATTAGAAATTGACAAATAATAATGACACACTGCTAAATAAATAGCTATAAATAACTCACGGAAAACACAGATATTAAGTGAATCTTTCTTAGCACATAAATATGATAATTCCTGATATCATTCACAAATTAAATTCTAAAGTATAATTCAACTAACTTTCTTTGAACTGCGACAATCCGAGCTGATTAAAAACTAACGCATCCTAATTATCAGAGCAATATTTATATGGCGTTGCATAAATTGATGATAATGTTTAAAAAATTTGTTTTTTTGATCCCGCAGAAAATTGAAAAGTTGGCAAGAAATCATAAAAAGTTGTTAACTTGGCAAACGCAAACTGTTATTCAGGCCCATCATGAGCATTTTTATCCCATACCCTGAATTTTAGTTCAGCTATTTTTTTATTTAAATGCTGTTGGACTCAGAATAGAAAACTCTACATTTCTATTAAAAAAATTAACACTTGTATACAATACCTCTGGCCACAAAATTACTAGCAAAATAAACTCTAAAACAATTACCCTAAAAGCAACAAATAAACAAAAACCTAAACATCACAGTACATTTATAACACGATAAAACAAATTTATATACTTACAGAAATTTAAATATTATCTCCCTAGAAATATGAGAAAATATAAATGAAAGCGTTTTTTACAACATTCGGTATTTTTCCATTTCGCCGGTGCAAATCTCGCCAAACAGACTTTATTGGTGACAACACAGAGTATATATATAAAAAATGATAGTTCTAAGAAATTTTTTTGAAGGCATAAGCATTTTAATATTGTTTAAAATTTTGTAAAAATACAATAAATAAAGAATTGTAATTAATTTGTAAAAAGACATTAATTTAAGAATTTACTATGCTTTCATGATACAACATCCTTCATCAAGTGACCATTTCACATCAAGTGACCCCAAGTGATCTCATCTCAAGTAAACTACGCTACAAAAATCTAATTCTCTCAGTAATTACATTAATTTCAAGTTAAATCTTAATTTGGAACACACATTTAAATGCAATCATTATTTCAATTCATACGAATAGCTTACTCAAAAATTATGTAAAACCTCAGTGCTTCACTCCGCTAGTGCATTCTCATTGGAATTTATGAATTTAATCTTTGACTTTGCCTTTTCTATATTTTCGCCTTCAGGTCAAGCGGTTTGATTGCATCCTAATTGACTTAATTATTGCAATTGGCCTTAGGGCATAAAATTGAACTATCTGGTAAAAATTCTATGTAATTGTACGCCAGTATTGAAAGAAACAATCAATCTGATAAGAAATGGCTGTGACTTGTTTTCAAAATGAGGTGAAAAAGGTTACCAGCGAGGATATTCTGTTTGGCATCGATTGTACCATTTCTGGCAACTTTATCAATTGTGCAGGCAAAATGGAAAAGTACCCAACATTCTTACAATAAAATAAAACAAGTATTTACAAATGTTTCATATAGATCATTAAAAAATGGTCATCATCACCTTTTTCATGTAAGCACATCGAGAATCTTCATTAAACTGTGGTAAACAAGAAAATAAAAGTTGAACCATATCCATCAGAGCATGTTCAGCAGACCTTCTTAATAACTCTGAAAAGCAAGTTGCAATTACAAAAACTTACAAGCATTTATAGAAATTTTTAATGCAGTATGTTTTTAACTGTGAAATGGGGAAAGAGGAAACAGTGAGAATTAGTTATATTGGAGCAATTTTTTTAAAAAAATTACATCAGTTTTGAAGGGGACTAACATAAGTCCCTCCTCTTTAGGAAAAAAGAAAAAAAAAATCTCTCGGTGGGGACAGTATGAACAGCTAACACACTGGTGTTCAAAACTGAGAAATGCTAAAATTTGTCTAGCGTAAATGAAGGTTATATGACAGCAAAGCCTACTTTTAGTTTAACTAGTAAAGTAGTCAAAATTTTTAAATGTAGCAAATTGTAGCAGCATATTTTGAAAAGAGTAATAGTATTTTTCAAAACCTCCAGCAATAAGAGACAGCATTTTTTAAAAACTGTAGTGATTTAAGGATCCATCTTAAAATTCATACAATTCAGATCAGCATATAACGGAAATTTAAATACTCTTGGTATGTATGTTAAATAAATAAATTCAAAAACAAATTATAAGCATTTGAAATTAGAATTTTGTATCAACAAAGAGCATCACTAATTATTATCAGCACTATTAACCATTATAAAAGTTTTAATTCTGAATTTTAAAATATCAAATTTTGTCAAACAAATGGCTAATTTAAAAAAATACTGTAGTGAACCTTTTAGTGGCAAGCACCTTTAAAAGTAGCTAATGTTTCTGAGAACATTAATTAACATCAATCTTGAACATATTTCTCTAAGATTATCTCTGTAGCACACCAAAATCATTTAGAACTATGAATGACTATCTCAGAAAAGGTACACTATGCTATATAAAAGTATAAAACATACTTATTTAAAAAGAAAATAAAAAGAATTTGAGATCCATCCTTTATATGCATAAAAACATGCATTATGAGAGAAAAAAATTATTCTAATTAACAAATAAAATTAAATATCAGACTTTATTACTTTATTAACTATAGATATTTTCTTTTGAGTATGTTTGTTTTAATTATATTTAACTGTTATACCAATCTACATTTTCAAAAGAGAGTTTGTAGTGATTCTTCATTTTGGTTTACAGTTTGAAGGAAAACGGCAGAAACAAACTTTTTCCATGGTATGGTGCAAAAAGTGCTAAAATCTTGTTAAGGCTGTATTTTTGTCCAATATCTAGAATACAACAAACTTAATTCTTACATATGCTTGGAACAAAATTAACAATATTTTGCTTTTAAAAGCATCTGAATTGATTCAGCCTCTCAGTCAGTTGGGTACAAACTGGAATTCAGCTTTTATAGAGCAGTTTACAGCAAATAGCACAGCAATCACAGCACTGGTTTTATAATTAAAATATACAGTAATCATATAAAATTAGCTGACATCAATCAAACTGTATGTAATATTTTCACTCATCAATGTTTATAAAGTATTAATAAATTTTTATAACAAATTACAATTATACTATGCTTTGAAGATTGATTCTGTTTCACTATACATTCCAGAATTTAAAACTAAAAATGAAAATGACTTACCGCTCAGTCGAGTCTCAAAGCAGAAACGAAAACACGACTGCATAATTTCACACACCGATTCGTTAGTCAGAAGAACACCTAATGGAGTGAGTAACAGCAACCTTAAAACATGAAGAATTTTCATCAAGACTACTTCATCAGATGCAGAATCTGTACCCATAAACCGTGCATGTGTGACTGCATCAGCAATATTTTCAGCTGCCAGAGGAGCAGTTGCATGCTTTGCATCTGAAATTGCAATAACTTTAGCTGAAATTTACAGTTAAATGATGAGATGAAAAATAAAATGTACACAAATTTATCAAACTTTTTACTATGCAGGAGGTAAGGAATTATTCTGCACAAATTCAGATTATATGGCATCATAAATATAATACATTAATAAACTCTTTTGATCAGTTACACATATAAACTAAACAATCAATCACATATGTTACAATAAACTTTCAGTCATATATATGATAAGGTACACTGCACACAAAAAAAGGGACAGTTCTATATCGCCTGTACTACTGGGCCAATTGATGAAATGTGGAAATTATATTTGAATTAAGCCTAAATTTCTAATTCTGGAAGAATGAATGAGGTAAGTTAAATTAAAATAAAAGAGATATTAATATATATATATATCAAATTTAAATAACATTGAGGAGCTAATTTTTTAAAAACTACTTGTGCGATTTTTATAAAATTTAGCAGTTTAGCATAATTTGAGTCGTAGAATCGAAATATGGAAAAAGAATTGGCATGTCATTCCAGAAAAAGTCCGATTTTGTGTCAAAATACCTATGTTAGAACAATGCTACATATAAATCTAATATATATTTCAAGTCGCACTTTCGAGACATGAAAAACGCAACTTGAATTTTGTCAATCGGCCCAGTAGAATGAAAGATATAGAACTGTCCCATTTTTTTTCTTTTTTGCCCCCCCCCAATGTACAAGACTTAAGGCCCTCACAGTTCTTTGATGCCAAGTTCATTTGTCAACAGAAATTCATAACTTTGTCTCTTAAGATAAAAAACCATGCACAGCAGAAACAATTATTTATCACTTGCATTTATGCAAGTATAAGTTATGCTTCAAAATATATAAAATGTTTATTTTTGCTTACAGTCCAGGTAAATTATGAACTGAAATTTAGTTCTATTGCAAATTTCCCATTTCACCTTAATGAAAAAACAAAAGTTACTAAGCAGGAATACTGATTTAATTACACTGTACCTATATTATTAGATCTTAATGAAACAAGAGATATAATGATTCAATTAACAAACTAACAAGCTTATATATACTTGTGTTAATATAATTTAAATGTGTGTATACATTAAATAAAAAAAATTAATGATGATTAAAGAATTCAAATTTTTTTCATTTGTCTATTCATTTGACTTGAATGTTTACTTTGTGACCAATGAGTTTTGCTTCCTGTTGTTAAAATGTATGAAAATCTATAATACATCTACTGCTGTGAAAATTAAATAAATAAAACTATTTAAAATAGAAAATTCTGCATAAATTGCAAGAAATGCTTAACTTTTAAATAAATCTTAGGCACCTCTTTTTTTAAGTATATTCTGAAAAAAGGCTCATTGCTAATCCATTAAAACATGTCATATTTTGTCACAAATAAAAAAGAAAAATTGTCATATTATTTTAAGAATTTTGAAATAGCTGGTAATTGTATAATTTCACTTTTAAAAAAGTAATGTGGAAATTTAAAATTTAGACTTAGGTGAATGCTTGAAGACATTCATTAAGAAGGTTGAAACATACATGTATTTTGAATAATGGTATAAATAAATATCACACAATTATACTTGAATACATTCACTAACTATGTTAAAATATATAGGCATTAATGCATTTTGAATGAAGTCATATATATATATATAAGAATAAATTGAATTTAATTTTAAAAAATTAAATTTAAATATATATTTAATTAAATATTCTTTGCGCCATTGCTGCAAGGAATGAAATTTAAATTTAAACAAATTTAAATTCTTAACAAATACGTATAAAAGTAAAAAAGCAAATTTAAAAAAGCAAATTAAATTTTAAAAAAAGGAAAAAAGCCAAAATTTAAAATAATTTTTAAAAAAATGTGCAAACATGTAAAAGATTTAATTCTCGAACTAATCTATAATATCATTTAAATTCAGAAGATTTAAATTCACATTAAAAATGCATATGTGAATGACCGTAGAGTAGGCAGGAGACAGACTTATCAAGGTGAAGATGCATTTTTTAAATTATTTATTTAATTTTAATTTATTAAATTAGTAGATTATTTTCATGGATAGATTATGCACTTGATTTGCTTATGCTTCTGAATTTAAATGATATTGTAGATTAGTTCAAGAATTAAATCTTTTACATGTTTGCACATTTTTTAAAAATTATTTTAAATTTTGGCTTTTTTCCTTTTTTTAAAATTTAAATTTGCTTTTTACTTTTACACGTATTTGTTAAGAATTTAAATTTGTTTAAATACATATATATATATATATATAATGATATTTTTTAATCAATTGATTAAATTAAATTCTAATCATATTGCTTAATAATGTGTTGGCAATTCTCTACTTAAATTGCATCCCTGCTCCTAAATTTTGGCGAAATCCTTTCTTTATTATAAATTATATTAACTGTTGGCTCCCGCCAAAGCATCAAACTCATAAACCTGTCATATCGCTTAAAGTCCTTAAGAACACTCCTGATGAGAAGATAGTGTTGCCTCGTGATTTCAATTAATATCGCTGAATGGATGAGCACCATGGTGCACACATCCTTCTATAAATAGGGCTTCTCCTCGAGGTACAGGAGGAATGCTTGTAAGATGGATGCTAAAAGAAATGTATCACTTTATATTCCAAAATTTGTCTCATTCCTGTTGCCCTGGCTGCACAACACAAATAATATATGAGAAAATACATTTCATATATATATATATATATATGTCTGATAATAGTACTTGTCTGATATATACATGTACATAAGACAAGTAATAATACTCAGTACAAAGTATATAAGTGTTTAATATATACTTTATTGCTATAATGATTGATATAATATTTGATTCCTATAATGTATATAAAACTTGTGCAGATTTAAATGTTTTTCATTTAAACCTCAATTTGAACATAACATATTAAGAAATGAATTAGCGAATTATATATATTTTTTTTACTTACATATTAACCCAACCACCATGAAATGAGCTGGTGATTTTTTATAAATGAGAAAGTAAAGGTTTTTTTAACAAGGTACAAGTTGGCAGTTTTTGTGACTTTTTTCATAAGATTTTCTATTTATGGAAATATATGATAAATTGGCAAAAATTATAAGCATATAAAAATACACTTTAGTAATTTAAAATACAAATTTAAATTATCAAATAAGGATTATATGATACAAAAAAATATACACTCAAATTTTTCATAAATTCCTTCCATAATCTTCTTGCCCTAGTCTTCTCCCCATGCATACAGCAATCTGTTCATACTTAAAAGAACATCATAGAACTGCACAACTCTCACATTAAGCTCTGGCTGCCTGCCAAACAGATGTTTCCATTATTTACTTTAATGATTTTGCAGGAAAACTCTGTATTCCTGCAAAAACTTTACCATCAATTTTATACTACTGGTAGACTACATAAGCACATATTTTAAAATTGAGTTTAGAGCAAAAAATATCTCTGTTTGTAAATACCATTGTATATATAAATATTACAGTTTGTCTATAAACAACAACATTTTATATATAAATATCACAATTTTTCAATAAATACCACTGAAACATGAAATGCAACAAAATAACACATATGAAAATGGTGACAGTGTAGACTGGAGAACTGGTTATGAATATAGTTGCCTGAAGAATAATTATGCATATGGCTATAAGAATTTAGTCAATTCTGAAAATTTGATGACTTTTACAAAGGTAGTCACTATAATATGCAAGTACCTATGTTTCATTTTAAATTGGTTTTATATACCCATAAACAATCAAAAAATCTATTAAAAATAAAAACAATGATTACCGCAGATATCATTTAGGACATCCACCCCTTATTCCTGAAAGGATTCTTACAAAATGCAATCAAATTAAGTGAACTTAATTTGATGGCATTTTGTAAGAATTTAATCCTGGGAAAATACAAAATGCTATTAGATTTAGATGTAATATTTAAAACAAACTTACCTATGAGACCATATGACAGAAATTTGCTAACTGCAGATAAACCAAGTCCGGTTACCGGTCCAGTAGTTGTTTCTGCTCTTATCACATCCAAAAATGGTTTCAAATATGTAATAGGTTCTATATCATTTAAACTATTCACTTGATTTAACATTTCTTTCAGATCAGAAAAGCTTTTCAATAAGCTGTCTTGCTCTTCTTCCTGCAAGTGTATGAAATATTTATAAATAACATACTGATTAAATCTTTTACACCTGTTTCTTTGTAAACATTTATATGAAATTAGGTTAGTTTAAGATTTAGCATGCCCCTTGGATTATTGCCAAGTTGTTACTTCACTTAGTGCCAAATTGTTGTTTCATTTATGGTAACCAAAGTAGTTGAATGCCATGGAAACCCTATTATGATGTGATTGGTTGCGTGAATGTGGTGAATTTGACTGATGGGGAAAATGTTTGTAAGGGCTTATTTCTGCATTGGATGTCAGTTAGAAAGTACGTTGCTTATTTTGTGCTGTACACCATAAAATGGCTGGGTTAGAGTAGACTAAAGGTCCTTGTATTATCGCGAAGTCATTGTTTCATTTATCGCCAAGTTGTTGTTTCATTTATGGTAACCTGAGTAGTTGAATTTTCCATAAATATACTATAATTGGGTGCACCTTTGTCTTTTTAAGTGAAAATATATTGATGTGTATATGGACAAAGGGAGTGCACAATGCCAAGTTTGTGTCATTATCTGATGTTTTTTAAGTGAAAATAGGTCAACATATACATGGATAAAGTCAAGGGAGTGGGCAATGCCTAGTTTGTGAAATTCTGTGATTTTTTTTAAAAGTGAAAATAGGTCAATGTGCACATGGATACCAACCAAGTTTGTGTAGTTCTTTGACTTGTTATTTTGTCCTTGTGTAGCGGCGAACTTTGTACACAAAGCCAAAGAATTGCACAAACTCGGTATCCATGTACCGACAAAAATCGCCAAGGGGTACCCGTAAATATACTTTAACCAATGGCTATATGTAATAAGATTAATCTGAAGATTCTGTATGATTTGAAATGAAAGGGGTAAAAAGCATGAATTGACTGGTGTGTAAATGAAGGTTTACTTAGTAGCTGTATTTGTACGAAGGAAATGCATATGGTCAAGCATAAAGAACATTCAGATGGCTTTGAATGTGTTTGTCGCAAGAAAGGTTCATGCAAGAAATGCCATTGATAGTCCTGCACTACAGAGGATATTTTTTACTCTTGTTTTTGTGGAGACGGCAGTATGCATATTCTAAAATGATGCCCATTGATTCTAAAATGATGCATGTTCAAATAATTTTAGAAAGTTTTTGGATGCTGTTAAGAAATTTTGTGCGCCACAGACTGAAGACAGAGAAATTTCTATCTAATGCTAAATATAATAAAGTCAATATTTCCTTTTTATATTTTAGTGCATATATGGGATAACCTGGATTTCCTTTTTTTTTATGTTATTTCATTGCATCATTTAAAATGCAGTTTATTGAGCTTCGATAGGCTACAAATTTTGTTCAATTTTGGTGACGAGTAACTTTGTTTTAACATTATATGGCATCATCATTCTCCTGATTTTTTTGAAGTGAAAATAGATTGACATATATCGACAAAGTCAAATGAGTGCATAATGCCGAGTTTGTGAAATTCTGATTTTTTTTAGGGGGGGACGTGAAAATTTATCAATGTATACATGGATAGCGAGTTTGTGCAATTCTTTGACTTGTTATTTTGGTTTTGTTTAGTTCCATCTTGAAATTCTGCCTTGCTGGCCAACTGCCAAATTTCGCCAAGGGGGGGGGCACCCTAAAATTATATATAGAATATTTATAGAGCACCTATGTAAATCTAAAAGTTTGTGATTCATATACATTGAAAAAGAAGACAATTATAATAGTTTTCTCAATATTTTTTTGTACCTTGATACACCTTTCACTCTTTTTAATGAGCAGCTCCATGCTTCTGCGAAAGTAATTTGAAGATTTGTCCTCAAAATATATCATAACTGAAATTTTCATGCCATCAACGTTTTTTCCCCCATTAAGGTCAGACTTCACAGAGCAATTAATAATCACTCGGAGCTAAATCTGAACTATAAGAAGAATACTCAATATCCTTTATTCCATATTGCTTTTTTGAATTGCAATGACACATTGCTGTTTTTTAACTGGTGAAAAAAACCCATTTTGCAAAGACTTTTGTTTATGTGAAGATATAACAACATTTTCAAACAAGAGTTATTTCAGATGTCTTACAATCCACAGGAAGTAAAACACGTGCAATAAGCCTGAAAAGATCATGAAAGGTATTGGTACAATAGTGCAATCATAGTATGGATGGGCATCATTTAAAAATGCCTGCACTAACTTACATATTTTTACTAATGTAACTATGAATGCTGAAGTATTTGGTTCTTGATCCTTATGTCCAGTTGTTTAATGGAACAATCAGTAATATTTCCTCCTCCTGGATGATAATGCTTGTTTCAACCATGCTACATTAATGAATAATTATTTCAAGGGCAAAGGAATTCAGCATATGGAGTAACCTGAATATTATCTGGATTTAAATCTGATAGAACATAAGTAGGACAAACTAAGATGCTGACACTGCAGCCCCAGCTTAACACTCTTTAGGAGCTTCAAACCATTATTCATTATGAACACACTTTATCACAGCAGGAACACCTGAAAAATCTAATAAATAAATGTAGAAAATCACAGTACAGCTTTTCAATCAAGAGCAATCATAAGCCTTGTTAAATTTAAAAAAAAAAAAATAAAATTATGCAGGCCAATCTGCAGTTTAGCAATGACAAACATGGCAAAATAAACATTTTGTGCAATTTCCATGTTCGTAGCAGCAAAATTATTCAAATTATATGAGTTTCTATTGTTGTTATTTTAAAGTCTTCTACCAGTGTACTTGGAATGTAAAATTCATTTGTTCACATTAATAAGATATGAAATATGAAAGTCAATATGAAATAAGTCAATATGAATAAATCAATATGAAAAATACCTGATGTATATGAGCAGACCATCGATTTGCCTTCTTCATCGAAGTCATGACCATATTCATCTCTCCAACCACAATATATATGCTATTGTCTGGACACGGCATCTTGAAAATTTTGAATCTGAAATTTTAAATGTATTAAAACATTAAACAAGTTTGAAATCCAATATATGCCATAAATCACTCTCAGACAGAACATTATCACATTATAGAATGTATCTCGAAAATTTGCTGCAGAAGGTTATACTTCAACTCAGAATATATTTGTACAGACATTCCTTTATGACTGAAAAAAAAGCTAACACAAAAGTCTCAATTTACTACTGAGACTGCACATAAAATCATCAACAATAATTACAATATTAAGTTTATATTGCTATTTTGGATCAAAGCAATGATTAACATTTAAAAAATCATGCCCTTGAATTCATCAATAGCATTTTCTTATATTTAGAGCATTTAGTTTTGATGTCGCCATGTTTCAAAAAGTCAAATGACTTTAAAAGATGTATACGAATTTAATCTGAAAATACATAAAAAGCAGTAGAAAACATATGCATCTGACCAAAGAAAAAAAGTTCCTTCATTTTCAGTAGCCACCTTTTAGATGTTACACAAAAAATAAGAACACTGTCGAGAGGGAAAAAAAAAAAAAAAAAAAAAGAGTTGGTTAATCTTTGGATTATGGTAACTTGGCGATTTTTTGGCAACCAACCCTGCTACAGCAACCTGCTAGTTTTTTTTTTTTTTTTTTTTGGACACCATTTTTTTTTCACAAAAAAAAAAAAAAAAAAAAAGAGGGTTTTCCCCCCCCCCAACAATCTGCTAGTTGAATTACGCTTATGCTAGAACTTTTATGGAACAAAAGTGCTTAATCATGACAAAGATAGGTGCGAAATTGGGAGAGAGTGCAGAATCGCCCACTGCTTGCCGCGTTTTTAAGAACTGCACATACACAGTATCATCCATGTACATGTCGACCTATTTTCACTTAAAAAAACATCCCAGAATTGCACAAAAATGCCATTGCGCACACTCTTGACTTTATCCATGTACACTGCTAAAGTCCTAGCTAGTAACTTTTATCGCCTCACCAAAATGTCGCCAAACTACCTGTTACCATATTTCAAAGATTAGCCAAAGAGGGTTAAATATGAAATTCAAGGATAGTATTTTTCGCTCAGAAATTTTCAAAATGCAATAAGACACATCAATTAGATGATTCAAAACAGAGAGATCTATTGGCATATTTAGTAAAGCTGCAAAATGCACAAAATCCAGAATCATTCAAAGCATCACCAGATGAAAGCAAGTATTCTTTCACTTACTGGCTTTGGTAACAGAAAACAGGATAAGAGTTACTTCTCAAGTGTAATCCAGGAATTCTCGTGACCTTTTTTTTTTTAGAAAGATCTTGAAACTATCAATATTTGATCAGATGAAGAGAATGATCAACACATATATATATATATAACAACTGTAACTAAATATATAAACTGTATATAAACTGTAAACAATATAAATTAAAAAATGTTTATATTAAATAATGATAATATGATGCATTAAAAATACACTTTGATTTTCTCCAGATGTACACAGCAATCTGTTTTTGCTAAAAAAAAAAAAAAAAAAAACCACTCAGAAAATTTTAAACATGGCATTGTGCGCTTGCCTTTTTTAGGAAAACCTTCCGTAATTTTTTTTTTCTCTTTTGTTTTGTATACAGCAATCCTTTTTGCTAAATTGTTATCAAACAACAAAATCATAAAATTCGGCATATAGTTTATATCCCACTTCTACTGAAAACATATAATACATGCATTACAGGGACCTGAATATAACCAATCTGTCCTAGCTCTATATGACTAAGTAGATATCTGCTACATACTAGATGTTCCTGCCAATGAAAAATATATTTGGACTCATTTTAAAATGATCCCACATATTTTACTTCAATTTTTAAAATAAAATCTCATAATCTATTTTCTCTAATCTGAGTCTTTATGGTTGGGTGTCAGATCAAAAGTGTAAAATGTAATATATTATTGTCATATGTATCAGAATAACTAAAGATAATATGCATCTAAATTAACAGTAAAACTTAATTGATCATTTAGAACTATTAGAACAGTTAAAACTGTAAACTCCGACTTAATGAGGATGTAATGATCAGTATAACTATGTTGACATTTTTAAAATAAAATTTGAAACTGCCAGCCAAAAATCTTAACTTCTGAAATCTTTTGGAATTCAATGAAGAATATGATCTTTAGCATAATGCACTGAATAAGTGATTGTGTATAATTCCCTCAAATACTGAAAACATCACCTAGGTTTACAGATTTAAATGGCATCAAACATACACGACAAAAACTAAAAGATAATTTTCTTTAAAATAAAAAAGGGCAGTTACATTTTAATCTACAGAACATTAATTGAAAAAAATATGGCTAGAATACTTTTATAAACATCAAGTTTGACTTTTGAATACCAGTGTATCTAATTACAGCAAGTTTGACAGCTATGCTTCTGATCCCTAATAGCATATTCAAGATGACTGTCTGAAAGTTTATTTTTATTTTGCTTTTTTGTATGCTTTATGCTCGGAAAAAAAGTTGATCACAGATATGCCTTCTTTCAAATTGGTAAAAAGATAATAAAACAATCATGAACAGAGAAAACACTAGAAATTTTACTTGAAGTCAGTAACCTGTAAACATTTCTCATTTAAATAAGTTTTCATTATTTTGCGGATCTGAGTACAACTTTGCAATTCTATTTGTAAGCAAGCAGTTAGATCCTTAAAAATCATCCAATCAGTTCTCAAGTTCAAATTAAATGCCGCATGCATTCCCACTTTCGTTATACACAATCGCTGGTCAATGGGATCTGACGGTAACCAGTAACCCTGAGCTAAATAAAAGCATATTTTCCTGATAATCTAAATACAAGTGCAAGTATGATTTACAGAAGAATTACTTTTATCGTGTTTATTTTCATATTTTCAATGACAAGAAAAAACAGCATTAAATGATGAGACTATATGAGAAAGAATCACACTCGAATAATTAAATCAATCACTTACGTGTATTGGGTACTTACGTATTTTGGGACACACACAGGTGTTTTCACTGTTCACTTTAATATAACATACTGTATATTTACATAGATCGCCGAAACAATCATATCGAACAAAATTTTACCCATTTATGAAAAATAATGTATGCTTTTAAGCACTACAGCAAAATATATATATACACACACAATATTTAAAGCTCATGATAAAAACAAGATATACACCATGTACAATTTCATTAACTTCAATAACAACATTAAAATCGACACGACATGTATTTGAAACTGCTGCCATACAATTGCCCAAAATAGTACTAATGTCAAATGTAAATATATCTAGCATTTCACTTCATAAGGAATTTCTATGCCATAGAGAATTTCTACAAGCATTTACCTCAAAAATCAGTTTACAAATTGGAGTATCATTAAATAAAAGAAAAAAATAGAGACTTCCAAAACAACGTAAAAATTCTACACTCAAAGTATCACGTATTATGAGAAATAAAATATACCAAAAGAGAAAAAAATCCGACTTTATGGAAATAGGCTCTACAGGAAGAAGTTGTCATTCTTCAAACTTATTTATGTATTTTGCTTTTGATAAAAAAATTCTGTTTTAAAATATGTTCCTGATTTAAACGCTGAGCATGGAAACTGTTAAGGCCCGTCCACACGAGTACGCTCGAAACGTAGCTGACGAACGCGCTTTTACGTTACCAGCGTAAAAGCGTCCAAACGAGTACGCTTGCAAAGAGTGCGTTTAACCAATAGAATTATTTTGCGCAAAAATCACGTGACGCGTCAACAGAGCTGTATCTTATTACTTCGCTGTTCTTCTGTATGTTTGCGGCAATTTGTCCGAATCAGATAATTTTTTTATAGCTGAAACTTTACTATTATGTGCAATTATTAAGCAAAGGCAAAACCGCAAAAAATGGCAAGAATGAGTCCGAAAGATTTATTTAAAAGCGACCTGTTCAAAGAGATTTTTTTTTTAACTGCCTTGTTTGCGAAAGGAATATCTGGAATTATTAAATTCCTACTATTAGCTCACACTCTCCCTATATCTTGTTCAAATTTTCAGTACATAAAATGCTTTTTATTCATCCACTCAAGTTCAAATACAATTTTTTAAACTTGCAGTGAATGACACTTGATACAGCTTTTTCACATATTAAAATTTTTAAATTTTTAATTTAAAAAATTATGTTTGTATTTTTATTTTATTTATTTATTTATTTTTTTGTATTTTTAAACTTTTCTTTGTGGACCTAAGTAGGAATTGACTTAATTTTTTTTGGGGGGGGTATATTACTTGTTTTTTGATTCCTTCAGGATGAGTATCGACCAGTTTGACAGACTTGCAGATTCTATATCGTATGAAAATTAGGATTTATACAATTGGTTTGCAATACAGTATATAAAGAGAATTAAATTACTTAATTCTCTTTATATACACCATCTACCATATAATAAAACCAACTTCATAGTTTTTTAACTCGCTTTCCCTTTAAAAAAGAAAAACAAAAGTTGTTTTTCTTTTTATTTATTTTGGAATTTAGAATGAGGTTCAAACTTTGGACAGTTTATGAGAAATTATGTGCATGATAAAATATGCAATAAAGTAAAAATAAAGAGAGAATTTATAGATGATATATGATAAAGAGATGCAGATATATTTTTACATAAGGATTTCTATTTGCACTGCACATTTTAAACTAAAAAACAATAAGAAGAAATGAAAACAATAATAATAGGTAAAATAAGAATATAATGATTCATGATTAAACATAAGAAACACGTTTCAAAATTAGAAAAGCTAACTGAATTATACTGTCTACGGGTGAGGTTCGAACTTGCAACCTTTCCATTCCTCCGTCACCAAAGCAGCGAGCTGACCACACTGTGATAGCAGTGTTTGTGAAAAATAATGTAACAAGTAGAGTCGCTGCAAAGGTAATTTAATTAAACTTCAATAAATGATTGCTGTATGACACAAGTTGTAACTTTCCTCCAAAATTTCGTAATTGTATTTTATTGAATACTCTTTCACAGTCAACTGCTTTATTTTAGAAGTTATTATATTGCTGAAGTTAGTTTTTGGTGTATTTAATATTGGGATATTTATAGAGCTTTTTATTACACATGATATAGCAATATTTATAATAATTAAGGAGAATTTTGTAAAGCAGAAACTTTGATTTCGTATAAACTGTAATTTATTTAGGTTCCTATTACTTACGGTGTTATAAATAGGTGAAGCATATGGATATACTAGTCGGATCATTGCTTTATAAGTATACAGTTTTCGCCTTTAATGAGAATTTTAAATGTATACTAATATGTACGGTTTGAGAAATCTGAAGATGGCGTGAACAATGCTGATTATTTTATTGCTGTATACACTTATATTTCTAAGCAAAAACTCATCTCTGTGTGGCTCTGACGCCATATTGAAACGGATAAGCAAGAAGGTTTTCTGATTATGACACGTGATAAGAACTCGGTCGGCTATTGGCTATACGCGCGCGTCGCGGGCGAAAAAGCTGAACAGGAGCGTACTCAGTTTTTACGTCTTCTGCGTCCTGCGAATTTACGCCGGCGTCAAAAAAGTTACGTCAACTTCGTCGGGAGCGTCCTCGTGTGAACGGGCCTTTAGAGTTTAAGACACGCATGGAAATGTTCTGTCAGTTTGTTTCAGCGTAAATTTTTAATGGAACTTAATCAGCACCATTTCAACAAGAACTGATGTGGCCTAACATGGGATTACCTTCATCGTCACAAACACTTGGAAGTTTTTCAGTGATAATTCTTGAATCTAATAAGGATTTTTCTCTTGCATAACGTAAATATGAGACACTTTCGCTCAGAAATCTTTTCTTGAAGAAGCTAACAGTAGTAAACTTTATCGCCGTTTAAACAATTATTATATTCTATCCACTTGGTTACAACACAGTCGTATCGTAATGCAGACTTCGAAGAACTGCAGTTGATATACATATATAGTGTTAAGACCCAATAACACGCCGAACAAATACTAATTCAGAAGTCAAACAACAAAAATCAGAGTTATATTTTCAAATTTTCACAGGACTAGTTTCAGGAGCGTAGCTAAAGGCGGGCATCTGTCCCCGGGCGCAGAATCCAAGGGGCGCCAAACTGATGTTACGACATTTTAAAATTAAATGTTTTCCACCCTTGGCAACCAGTAGGGGGTGCGAAATCTTCAGTTGTCCTTGGGCGCTGAAAACCCTAGCTATGACTCTGACTAGTTTCGATGGTTCGAAAACCATCGAAACTAGTCTTGTGAATTTTATCGTCAGCTGCAAAAGCGCAAATGAAGGAGATAGGATATAATGATCAGATAAGATAAGAAGGCCTGGACAGAAATTAAGCTAGTGGCGCCATCTGTTGACGAAACCAGAACTAAAACATAATTTCTTTAAAGGCTGAAGGCAAAGGTGGATTGGAATTATGATCGTTAACTAGAACAGAATTTAGGACTCCTTGCCAGTGTGGTTTAATTTACATTGGCCAAACTAAGAGAGCCTTAAAATTTCGCGTCAAGGAACATGAGGCAAATATTAGAAAAAAGGAAACACAGAAGTCTTCTGTTGCCCAACATTGTTGGTCAGAAAATCACACATTCAATTTTTCTGCTGCCAGAATTATTCAGAAAAAATATTATTGCCAGAATTATTCAGAATGCCAGAATTATTCCATTGTAGAATTGGATTTTCTAGAGGCATTTCACATTCAAAAATTCTTTCTGTTGTAGTTAACGATCCTCATTCCAATCCATCTTTGCCTTTAAAGAAATTCTGTTTTAGTTCAGATGACGCCACTAGCTTATTTTCTGTCCAGGCTTTCTTATCTTATCTGATCATTGTATCCTATCTCGTTCATTTGCCCTTTTGCAGCTGACGATGGTGGTTTGGTAAAACCATCGAAGCTAGTCCTGTGAAAATTTGAAAATATAACGCTGAATTTTGTTGTTTGACCTCTGAATTAATACATATATATATATGTGGGTGTGTGTAACACAGAAAATATATAAATCAAAATTATAATTTAAACTAATAGTAACCCTTTAATTCTCCCTCTTTGTTCTAAAAATCGCAATAACTTATCTGGATCGCGTCATTTCTGTATCATTCCATCTGTAAGCACGGTTGTAAATTATTTATTGTTATTAGACAGAATATCTCCCGAGAAATGCTAATATTCTGCTCTTTTCGCTCTATTTATATATTATTCAGAAGATGTACGACTGAAAATGTATATTGGTACGATGAAGTAAGAACGTCTGTTATGCTATGCACCTTTAAGAATACGTTACATATAGGTTATTAAATTACGAGTACAATTTATCTTTTAATAAATGTTTGTCTTTAAAAAATATTTTTTTGAGTGTTTAATTTAAATACAAAAGAAACCTAACACATCTTGCATGGCATGCGCAATGCTGATGTCGTAAAACTGAAACTTTTCTAACATAACCAAAACTTTTCTTTCAACAGTAATAAAAGCAAATTTCAAAGAAACATTGATGTATGAATCCTGAGACATAGAAGCGTAGAAATGCTTAATACTTAGAACGTAGAATTCGTAAAGACTAAGAAATTTGGCAGTCGGGGCTGTTTTAATTAGATTTTTATTTCCAACTGACATTTGTGGCCACAATCACTTGGCACTCTAGTCGTGCCTATTGAAGAACATCTACATTTTTGATACACTTGCGATAGGAAGCGAGCGCAACGAAATTACGTCCACGCAGCATAGAGAGAAGCTAAAGTGTGTATTTATCCAATATGGCAATCTGTTGAGAAAAAAGTTTCGGTTTCTGTTAGAAAAGTTTCAGTTTCTAAAAATTACGTCATCAGCGTTGCGCAGGCCATGCAAGATGGAATGATCTAGAAATGACGCAATCCAGAGAAATTTTTACGATTTTTAGAACAGAGAGGGAAAATTAAAGGGTTACCGTTAGTTTAAATTATAATTTTGATTTACATATCTTTATCTTACACACCCACACACACATATATATTATAGTTAATAATACGTTATTAATATTAGTTATTAATATATGACATTACCTTTCACACAGAACATTATAAGACATTATTTGAGATAGGCCAGCAACACAGCTCGCAACATCAAACTACGAATATAAAGCGTCTTCTTCCAATAAATATCACACATGCAGATAAAAAAATTCAGTAATTTTATAGATTTTATAACTAGTTCATCTACAGAGTCTGTCAAATTCAGCTGGTAATG